GAATACTATGATTGTTGGTGAAGCACAACAAACATCGCGAGTTGCTGTGTACCCATTGGATGCGTTGGAACCTGTCCTTAACTTAGCTCCCCAGTGTGTCCAGATTGGAACAGGGTCCACAAGGTCCCAAGGGCCAAGGTCAACTATTTGATACATTCTAGGTAATGTTCAGCAAAATGTAAGGCTAAAGCTCTAAAAAAGGGTACATCTGGGGAAGGCTGTTGATCTTCGGCGGCTTCAGCGGCAAGAAGCACCTGAAGACAGTGGAGGCTTTCAATGAGGAGAGGTCCATCTATGTTTTGTGTAAACTGCGGATCACCCGCGGATCAAAGATACGGTGCTGGAAGGGCCCTCAAGTTCTGTATTCTTTTTGATGCTTGTTTTAGACCATCAACTTTCTTGGGGTCAACCAGTCTGACATATGGATGTCCCAAAACCTTTAAAGGTTCTAAGTTCTAACAACAAACCAGGGAGTTGCTGATTTTCGTGGATTTGTGGGTCAAGTAGGACAGACCAGATTCCAGCAATTGTTGTTTGAGTCCTAGCTAGCTACTGTGACAAGTTCGAAATGTTCCAGAAGTGGTTTGTTTGGAATGTGTCACGCCCTCAGGTCTCTTGTTTGGGTCAGAGCCCAGGTCCATGAGGTTATCCCGTTCCTTGACAGCTTCTCAAACCCTGAATGAAGCGTCAAGATCCGTCAGGAAAAACTCTAATGTGCTGACCTCACCCTGATAATTCACACATTTAGACACAGACAGTGTGCCCCACCAAGTGCATCCAAGTGCGAAATGTCTATGTGTCAGTCCTTGTTACCTGATTGGCCTTATCCGCTACGGTCAGGAGACATGTTCTTGGGAGCTGGTGGGTGATCTGCTTGAGCCTTGGGTTGCTCTGGAGGTTGAAACCCGCTTGGAGCCTTTTGTGAGTGGCTTAAGATTATTGAACCATATTATACCACAAAGATCCACAAAGTGGGTTCCTGGTGGCAAATATCGACATATCGCCACGTTTGTTGTGAGTTGGGTAGAACATGTTTATCAATGTGTGAGCCATAGAATTGTCAACACGACACAACACCCATGGCGCCATGCCTTCTGAGATTGTCTAAAAGACTTATGGGAATTGAGATGAATTGAGCATGTCGAGGTGGTTGCTTAAATCCAGCCATCAAAGGATTGGTTTCAGATGCTTTAAGGGAGAATCTACAGGAACTTCCATATGTCATCGAAAAACCTATGGTTTCCCGATTTCCAGTAGATGTTCCCTTAAACCAATCCTTTATTTGAAGCCAGGAAGTATGTTTACTCCGAGGCCAGAACCAATTTTGGCCGCTGCCGCAACAGTCCCTCGGCCAATTTTGTGGCGACCCGTGCAACTGGAAGTGCTGGTTCAAAGGTTTGGTCCATCAACATGGGTTTGTTTGAACATTCTTTATAATTTTTTATATGGTAATATATGGTATATATCATACAGTACAGTAACGACATTTAAATATGTGGAGGGCGGGCCAGACCGCGAGGCCGAGAGGTAGTATGAAATGCCAGTTCTTATATTTAAATGTAGTTACCGTATGTTTAAATGAATTCAATTCCGTATGTTTAAATGGCCGGGCGGGCCAACGAAAACCTTCCCGAAGGTAGTCTAAAATACCTGTTCGTATATTTAAAAGTCCGTATATTTAAATGTATAGTTACCATATATATATATAATATATTCCCAAAATGGCCGGTTACATAGGGAAATCATGATCACCCAAGGGGGGTTCGGTTTGCCCGGCAACCCCAAATGCTTCCACCACTTCTCCATTGGTGCAGGCAGTGTGCATGCCACTGAGCTAGTCACGGATCCGTGGATCTTGATTTTCCCTTTCAGAGGCATGGGCAAATGACAGGTGTAACATGGTTTAACGGTGGTTTAACGATGTTTAACGATGGCAATAACGCCTTTCTGTTGGCTTTGCTCTTGGAATGCAGTTTTGTTGGTTTTTCCATGGTTGTCCTTTTTTTGATATGCGATTTCTGTGGTGGTTTTGACTTTCAAGTTCGTCCTGCGGACAGCGCGTATTAGCTCCAAATGTTGTGCGCTCCTCACTAGTTTTCGGCATCGTAACACTATGAGTATGATCCTATGTACGCAACAGGGACTTTTTCTATTGTATATTCATTCCAAGCAGGAATCTCCGGCAGACACATTGGGCTTGTAAACCATTTGAAGCTTTGCCGGCTTTGCTCATGTCTTCAGAAGCGTCGCGAGATTCCAAAATCTTTGAAACTGGACAGCCAGATGGTCAGGTGCTGCAATTCGCTGCAACCTTGATCTCATGGTGACTTTATGCTGGTTGGTGGATGATGAATCACCAACCGGTTTACAGAAAGGGATTTCCCATCAATGGGATTCCACAACATCGCCATGGTTGCCTAAGGCAAAAAGCCCAAAAAGATCCAGAAAGTTGACAGCGGTACATTTTCCCTGATGTTCAGTTGGGAGCTTCCTGCTTCGCCAGGAGACATTAGCTGATAGCAGCATCTCAGAAGGATTCTCAGAAAAAACAACAACAGAAACTCATGGCTTGGCTGGAAGTTGGAGCTTGATCGCAGTGGAAGAAGCAATCCGGATGCTTACTGTACACAGTCTGTGCACTTTGGGGCCCACTTTGTGGTCTTATCATTGCTTCGGTTTTAGTAGGTGGGGAAATCGGAGAATAACATCATTTAACATGAGGAACATGCAAGACGGATGCACCCAAACAGGCCCTGCTGACAATCCGCTGCATTCAGGAGCAATTTTTTAGGGTTGCTAGTTGCTCACCGTACAAAGGTTTTGAATCGTCAAAGCTGCACCGATGGGAACGAATCCCGCATTTCTTTGATGTTTTGGTCAATGATACCTCTTTCGACGCGTAAGTACTTGATTCTTAGTCATTTAGAACAGTCAACATTCAGCAGTCAACAGATGTCAACAGCCCATACCTAACCGATCGCCAAGCAGCCGATGGCCGACTGAGAGAGGGCCTCTGCAATGGGGCGACGTCGGTCAGAGCGTGGTGAGCGGGCCCAGGTTTTGCGCTACATCATCCGCTGCGTTGTGTAGTACTGATTGGTGAACAGTGGAATAAGATGGAATAAGAACAATAAGAATGAGAGAAGATTATCATAGATTATCTATACGATTATCCGAATTCTGGTGGAAGTGGGTGGTTTTCTTTTTTTCTTGGAGCCCCCTTTGGAATTCTGATGCACCCTTCCTGCTAAGGCCCATGGGAGGCTGAGAGGTTGGGAAGCATGGCACGACAAAACAAAGTCATCATGTAAGAAACCTGGAAAAAGAAAACATGAAAAGTCATCATGTTTGAACCAGCTTTTTCCGATGCGAACTCCCAGTTTCCCATCGTTGTTCTTAATTTACTGGAGCTGGCTAGTTGTGGTAAAACATCTGGCAGGTGGGATGAGCCTCGAGGCCCTCGCTGGGTCAAAGTTGGCCAAGCACAGGAGGATGAGGCAACCGGAGTTGATCTGGGGGGTTCCATTTTGATGTGATTTTGATGTGATTTGGATGGGATGTTCCTAAGATGTTCATAGGATTTCATGGGATTCAACAACCAACATGTTTATCACATTCATGGGGATTCTAATCCATTTACCATTTGCTGATCAAACATGGTGTTCTTGAAAATCCACCATTTAGTTCGGGGATTTTCCCACTGAAAAAACCTCCATGTCTGGTGGATTTGCCAGAAAACCATGTTTGATGACCAGAGGGCAATATCTTGTGGTTCCCTAAAATGTTAAAATGGGGGATCCTCAATCATCCAATTTACTACATCAATTTACGATATTGATTGGTCGTCCAACCTGAGGAATTTCCTAAAAGTGATTGACCCCAAATCGACTGGTTGATCATCATTTTCCCTATGAAAGTAGCCATTTGGAGAGCATATCTCAGTCTCAGAGACATCCGTATGGGCGTTTTCCATCGTTTTCCGAAAGTCTGGGGGACCCCAACTATTGATCATTTGAGGAAACCAAGTTCGGGTCCCCTTTTTGGAAACCGTCATAGAGGTACGGATGGTATGGGTCAAACTTGTAGGATGCCCAACATGGATGATTTCAGATCCTGGTGAAGTTTCAATTCCTGGTTACATGCCCAAATATGGTCCATTGGTACCCCATTTTGACCAATATAGCATCCCAGAAAAAGCATCCAAAAAAAAAGCATCCTATGAGCCATATTTGTTCGGAATTGATGGGTGATAATATGATAATATGATGATCAATGATATGTGCGTGGCTATTGTGATGCTATGGCTCAAAATATCTCACCCCTGGCTGTGGATGGTTGAGCTGCTGAGCCTGCAGGATTCCATCCCAGTTGGCCGTAGTCGGAAGGCCGTGTCGTTCCATGGGGAACACCTGTGACTTGCGGGGATACATTTGGGTTGTGCTACCAGTTCCATGTGAGGATTATGGCTGACTATGGTTTATTCAGGCTTATTCAGATCTTGTAGTGATTTATTTGGATGAATCGAAATGACTTCAGATTTGGAGCACTGCTCGTGTACTTTGTAGATCTTTGTAGGGTGACGGCTGCGAGTGCTTCGAGGGAACATAGGGAACACCCATGGCCCGAAGCCAACGGATTCTCAAGATTGGGGTACATAACTTTGCAAGAACACAATCTACATTTATATATTAATTATAACTATACATTTACTATATACATTACTAACTGAAGCGATTTGGCTGCTGCTTTTACCTGCCCTAAAGATCAGTTCAGGCGGATGCGAAGAAAGGCGGTGAGTATACTCGCATTCGCCTGCAATTTGATGATGCGGATACCGCCCCTGAGCCGCAGACAGTGACAATGCGGCTGCAGATCGCACTGACCATTGCTCAAGGATAGCTTCCCCACAGAACCGATTGGTTGAGATCATTTGTGGCAAACCATGCGCACAAGTCAGTATCTAAAAGCTCCAATGTGACATGTCATTGTACCGAATTATTCGTTTTTACCACGTGAATGCCGGTTTGAATCCCGGAATCCTTGTCACTGGCAACTCTAGTTGGTTCTTGAGGCCTTCATTTTGGGAAGAGGTGGCAAGACGAAGCATAAGATTGCCAGAGTTTCAGGCGCTGCGATTGGGAATGGGATTCATCCGGACGTTCACAGAGTTCCCAAATGCCGCTTACATAGTGGATAGAAAATTGTATAGACGTTCTCCAGTGTCCGGAGTACGTTCTTCACCAGCACAGACAACCAGAGTAGCTTGCCGTTTTGGTTTGGCAAGCAAACAAAGCCAACTGAAGCGTTGCAGGGATTGGAATTACTCCTACGTATTGCAATAGTATACAACATATAAAACGAAAACTGTTAACATCAGTGATACATAGTGATACCATTCAGTCTTATGTTTGATCATCACAATTCCTAGGCAAAGCTCAGGTTTCATGCTCTCGTATTTGTTGTGTAACGTTTCATCGCCTCTAGCCAATCAAGATTGTGCCACTCAAAAATTCCAGAATCAAAGCATATAGCAGTTATAGCAAGGACTGTTTTGATTTGTTGTGTATTATGTTGTTTTCATTATCGTTAATCGACCCGTGGAATATTGGAGAGCCAACAGATTTTGGATCACCTGCGCACCTGGATCCAACTCTCTGTCGAAAGTCAGGAGCTCGACTAGAGCTGCATGAAAGGCGCTGTTGGCTCAAGATTGCGACGGTGTTGTGATGGCTGTTCGGGAAAAGACAGTCCCCCTGAAAGTTATTCTCCCACCTAGAAGAGAATGGGTGGATAGATTAGGGATGATTAGGGGAGATCTTAGCAGTGCTGGTTGAAGCAGTGTTGTAACAGCAAGTCTGGATATGTGCTGCGAATCCTGATGTAGTTTGGGTACCAATTCCTCATGGCGTCCATGGTCACCATGGTCCCTTTTTCATTTTTTTTTCCACCGTTGCAAGGAACAATACAGTGGAGGTCATCGGATCGGAAGAGGCCGATAGCCATGGGATTGATTTGAGCTGAGTGCAGGTATGAGGTCAAAATTCAAGACCTGAAAACTGGGAAATGATGTGAAGAATTCTCCCGAATACGATTAAATCATGAAGCCATGGTTGCAGGTTTGATTCTAATAGAGACTGAAATCCTTTGCACCATTCAAACTCATTCTAAGTATATACAATCCAACAGTTCCCTAATACTCCTTGCCACTTTCTGTAAAGAAGGAAAGGATTCTTTTCATGTAGGGTGTTGAAGGGCTCGGGGTATGTTCCAGACGTATGTTCAATGCATCTTGGAATCCTTGGTCTAGGAGTACCTATATGACTGTATGATCTTGTCTGTCAGTCAGAAGGCTAGTACTGTAATTCAACCAAATCATACCAGATCGCATCAAGAGTGAACAATTTCAAACAGTTTCAGGTCTCTTGTGTCCTTGTGTCTTGTGTGACATACGACTGAATCCCGTGGCTCAATGACAGCCGGTTCAGGCTTGTGCACGCGCAAAGAAGTATATTTCGCTTGTTTGGGGGCTCAGCGGCCAAGGGGCATGGCCATGAGCAATCACAGCATGGAGGATATGGATAGATGACATTGGATGGTGCACTTGCAGCCTACAGGGCCTGCAGTGGTGTGTATCACACAGTGGAGTATGTTGGAGTGATCTATTTGACTTCCTTTCCGTGATATGGGTCGTTTGAAATAGCCAACATCCGCAGCTCATGGCTTTCTGTTGACCACAGGAGCTGAGAGCCTTCAAAAACCATGAGCCTGAATCTATTGGTTCCAATCGTCGGATATGTTACCAGCAGATACCTGGAGACCATTGGGTTGTGGATTTAAAACAAGATTGCTCCAACATTGTAACATACAGGTAATCATTGCAACAACGGGGGGAAATGGGTGCTTTTACCTTTCCACTTGACGTTGCGTGGTGTCTCAAAATCTGTGTTGTTGATGTGTTTTTGGTCTGCCCTACTACCTCCCTTTCCTTTCCACTTGAATTTGCGCGGTGTCTCATTCTGTGTTGTTGATGTACTTTTGGTTTGTCCCTTTTTCCCTTCTCCACTGAGAAAACCGTGTCAAGTAAGCCATGAAGTTGTTTTGAAAGATCTTCCTTTGCTGCCTTTCAAAATTATTTCATGTCTGGTCTTTGTGCGTGATTTGTCCAGGGGCGCTATCACAGCACCAGCACTGACGCTATCACAGCGTCAAATATGAAACCATTGACCATGAAAACTTTGCATTCCAAAAATGTTCATCAATCTTTCCGTTACACCTTGTTTCACTCATCCACTCGTGCTTAAGCACCAGCAAGAAATTAGTACTCAAAAGTACAACTTTAGTCAATTTTGCCTCAATGGCATCTGGTGCGTTGGGAGATGTTGGGTGCTCGCCTGTAAAATGGGCTTTCACGATTGTGATGCTTCAATCGTGTTCTGGCCCATGATCCCCAATCGATGATCCATCCCCTGTCAAGGTCCAGGCCCAAAGGGTAGGACCTGTTCACGTGGACGACAGTCACGTTGCTCCGAGACAATTGGGCCATTGGGTTTGTCTCAAACTTTGGAAGCGCAAAGTGCCATGGTTTATCTTATCTATGTTTAAAACCATTGTCCAACATGGCCCTTAATGGTCCTTAATCATCATTTATAAATCATATTTATTCATATTCTATATATTGTGATTAAATGATGCAACCCTATTTTGAGACACACCCATTGCGTGGAATCCCACGTGGGAGAACCATTCTGCGTGGAGGAAAAACCAATCTAAAGCCTATTTGGTGGACTTACTACCCAGGCTTTCTTATTCAGGGTCTACTGGGTAATCCCTACCCCCTATTAATAAACGGGCCCCCCCCCCTCCCCCCCCCCCTAATAATAAAATTCGAAATTTTGGGAACGCATTCTTTTTATTAGGGGGGTGTTTCAGAGTGGCGCTATCTGTTGTAATAAATTATGTTGCCTGATGACTGATTCTCTTTGAATTTGCAGGAGTTCTTATGATGAAGCTACCAAGATACCATATTATGTTTGGCCATGTTTGCCTCGCATTGGCATGATCTACGACTGCTTCGATTACTACCACGCTTGCTTCGACCATCACTACCCTCGCCATAGCAGCACAACGAATTATATATTTTTTCTCTCGTTCGACGACAATGGCTACTACTCTTACAAAATCCTTACATGCCCCCAAACCTTCACATGCAAAGCCTGAAAGACTCTGACGATGATCACAACTGAAACTGTGATTTCACCACTGACACAATGCTGATTACACGACTACCATCCTCGTGACGATGATCACAACTGCCATGATGCCCCTTCGATGCAGCATTCTTCCCCTTCAAACCAATTTTGTCGTTTGTATTATCGGCCAAGGGACAAAGGCTAGTGTGGAAGGGGGGCAAAGAAGCCAGGAGTAAAGGAATGAAAGAAAATCCAGTAGCAGCACACGGACTTTTTCTTAAGGCATCAAAGCAAACCGGTGCGCCCCCCTCCCTTTGTCTCATTCGAATAATTAGTGCATTTTCAGACTTGTTTCAGACTGTTTCAGAGTGTTTTTTTAAAGGACTTCAACCTCAAGAAACTGACTTCTTCTACTACGACCACTACTTCTTCTTCTACTAGTACTACTAGTACTACTAGTACTACTAGTACTACTAGTACTACTAGTACTACTACTACTAGTACTACTACTACTAGTACTACTACGACCACCACTGCCACTACTAGTACTACTACTCCTAGTACGACAACTAGTACTACTTCTTCTACTACTACTTCTTCTTCCACTCGTACTACTAGTACGGATACTATTACTAGTGATACTTACGATGCTACGACCACGACGTTTACTACTGAGGCATTGGGTGTAAATGACTACCCGCCTTGACGATGATCAGAACTGAATCTGATTCCACCACTGACGCAAGGCTGATTACACCACTACTACCTTCGTGACGATGATCACAACTGCCACGACGCCCCTTCGATGCAGCATGCTTCCCCTTCAAACCAATTTTTTCGTTTGGATTCTTTCGGCCAAGGGACAAAGGAACATGTGGAAGGGGGGCAAAGAAGCCAGGAGTAAAGGAATGAAAGAAAGCCCAGTAGCAGCACATGGACTTTTTCTTAAGGCATCAAAGCAAACCGGTCGGCCCCCCCCCGACCTTGTCTCATTCGAATAATTAGTGCATTTTCAGACTTGTTTCAGACTGTTTCAGACTGTTTATTTAAGGGACTTCAACCTCAAGAAACTAACTTCTTCTACTACGACCACTACTTCTTCTTTTACTAGTACTACTAGTACTACTAATTACTACTACTACTACTACTAGTACTACTACTAGTACTACTACTACTACTACTACTACTACTACTACTCTACTACTACTCTACTACTACTACTACTACTACTACTACTACGACTACCACTACTAGTACTAGTACTAGCGTTATTTGCATGTGAAAGACAGTTGCACCGACAGTCACAAGCACGATTTCATTGACACACACTGTGAGGAAAATCGAAAATCCAACCTGTCGGAATATACCTCAACAACCTGAGAAGAAAAGCTTATTCAACAGTTCAAGCAGGTACCAGTGGTTGATCAGACCACTCATCCACCGAAATGCCATAGCTTCGTAGTAACAATTCTACCAGTAGTAGTCGTAGTAGTAGTAGTAGTAGAAGTAGTAGTAGTAGTAGTAGTGGTTGTAGTAGTAGTAGTAGTAGTAGTAGTAGTCGTTGCAGTAGTGGTAGCAGTCGAAGTAGTGTATTCATTCGGACCCCTTCACGGCATTGAGGGCCCCCTTGAACATACGAGTGCGCTGTCATTTGCGACCAAGGGGCAAAAGGTCGCATGGAAGGGGAAAAAGCAACAAGTCAGAAAGGCATCTACAAGAGGCAAGAGGTCAAACAGACAGACATGGAAATTTGAAGACTGAAACTAGGACAATATTGGTAAAAGCTAGACCCGGGCTGAGATCCTGGAGATGTGGATGTTTCAGACCTGTTTCAGACTGTTTCAGACCCTTTTCTGGCCATGCACAACACTTGACACAATTGGCAGTAAAGAACCAAACAATTCTAAGAGTAGTAGTCGTAGTCGTAGTCGTAGTAGTAGTAGTCGTAGTAGTAGTAGTAGTAGTAGTAGTGGTAGTAGTAGTAGTAGTAGTGGTAGTAGTAGTGGTATTTGCAGTAGCTGTAATGTTTTCTGACCCCTTGAAGGCACTGCGGGCCCCCTGGAACATACTAGTACGCTATCACTTGCGGCCAAGGGGCAAAAGGTAGCATGGAAGGGGAAAAAGCAACAAGTCAGAAAAGGCATCTACAAGAGGCAAGAGGTCAAACAGACACTCATGGAAATTTGAAGACTGAAACTAAGACAATATTGGTCAAAGCTATTGCCAGCAAAGAACCAAACAATTCTACCAGCAGTAGTAGTAGTAGTAGTAGTAGTAGTAGTAGTAGTAGTAGTAATAACAGTACAAGTAGCATTCGCAGTAATGTTTTCTGACCCCTGGACGGCATTGCGGGCCCCCTGGAGCATACGACTACGCTGTCATTTGCGGCCAAGGGGCAAAAGGTAGCATGGAAGGGGAAAAAGCAACAAGTCAGAAAGGCATCTACAAGAGGCAAGAGGTCAAACAGACAGACATGGAAATTTGAAGACTGAAACTAAGACAATATTGGTCAAAGCTATTGCCAGCAAAGAACCAAACAATTCTACCAGCAGTAGTAGTAGTAGTAGTAGTAGTAGTAGTAGTGGTCGTAGTGGTAGTAGTGGTAGTAATAGTAGTAGTAGTAGTAGTAGTCGTTGCAGTAGTGGTAGCAGTCAAAGTAATGTATTCGGACCCCTTCACGGCATTGAGGGCCCCCTTGAACATACGAGTGCGCTGTCATTTGCGACCAAGGGGCAAAAGGTCGCGTGGAAGGGGAAAAAGCAACAAGTCAGAAAGGCATCTACAAGAGACGAGAGGTGAAACAGACAGACATGGAAATTTGAAGACTGAAACTAGGACAATATTGGTAAAAGCTAGACCCGGGCTGAGATCCTGGAGATGTGGATGTTTCAGACCTGTTTCAGACTGTTTCAGACCCTTTTCTGGCCATGCACAACACTTGACACAATTGGCAGTAAAGAACCAAACAATTCTAAGAGTAGTAGTCGTAGTCGTAGTCGTAGTCGTAGTCGTAGTCGTAGTCGTAGTCGTAGTCGTAGTAGTAGTAGTAGTAGTAGTAGTAGTAGTAGTAGTAGTAGTAGTAGTAGTACTAGTACTAGTACTAGTACTAGTAGTAGTAGTAGTAGTAGTAGTAGTAGTAGTAGTAGTAGTAGCAGTATCACGAGCAGTCGCAGCAGCACTAGCAGTAGCAGTAGCGAAAGGAGTGGTAGTAGGGGTAGTAGCAGTCGTAGTGGCAGTAGCAGTAATGTTTTTTGACCCCTTGAGGGCATTGCGGGCCCGCTTATTCAACAGTTCAAGCGGGTACTGCCATAGCTTCGTTGGACTGGATAGGCAAATTGGAAATTGGCTCCAGTAGCCCTGCTTTAGATGAAAATGGAACCATTTGTGATAACGGTGTGCACACACACACACACGGATGGAGTCCTCGAAAAGTTCGATTGCTGCTAGGATGCCCCCTAATAAGCTCGACGAGGCGTGTTAATTTATTCTCGGCTCATGTAGTATTGGTTTTCAATAGGCGGAATGGAAAAACAATTAAAAAAAAAATGGTCCCGAGCGCCGGCATTCTTTTTATTAGGGGGACCTTTATTAATAGGGGGTCGAGATTATGGGTCCAAAAAAAGTCAGACCCCAAAAAAAACAGACCCTGAATGATTCTGAATGATATATTCTGATCGTTTTTGGACTATCAACCAATCAACCTTCCATTAATCTGGGTAATCTCAGGACGAGGGCGACCTCACCATGATGGACGTCCCACACAACTGCGTTGCCTTTGTCACAGGCTGCCCGGTGTCAAGTGTTGGTGAACTTACCCTCCCCACCTGGCATGGGTGATTCCAATTGATTGGAATACAGTTGTGCTTTTCGGATGGGTTGAACCAATGAAACATTCTGCCAGCATAGGGCCAGGGCATCTCCCCGCTGGTGATTGACTTTCACCAGGCAATCTGTTGCTGTCATAATGACGCATGATGATGCATATATTACCATTGTCAGTGCTAACTATAATATTTATTAGTATTTGATATTATATACTTAATACTATCGGGTACTGTTATGGTATATCTTCATTACAATGATCATCAGCATGATTGCCATCCATTTTCATTTATTTTGACTACAATTATTATGTTGAAGGGGATCAACTATCATGATGAAATCATTACTCGTACTGTGCATCACCATTTTGAGAGAAACCCATTGTGAGGAATCATTAAATTATTGTTACATATTGTTACTATGTCAATTCTTCTCATATTGTTTTGATAAATAGTTTCCATTCCTGATCATAGTAACAATAACAATGATTATATCAACATCATATTATATCACAATAATCATCATAAAATAACCTTTATTAGATTATAAATTTTATAAATAGATATATATATATATATGTAAATAGTTTCTGATCACAATCAGTCAATCCTTCAGATCCCGTTTTTTCCACCTGGGCCATCCTGGGTCACTGGGCTCGAGGTGCTGGCGGAAACTTCCTGCGCACCTGCGAGGAGGTCATGCGCTGACTTTATCATTTTTATAGAGAAAAATATTCGGATGTAGATGGACTGTGATAGACTTATACTGTAGATATATAGCAGGTATAATATGATGTGATATTACAGTGATATTCGTAATTCGCCGTAAATCAATTCAATCTGCGAATGCAAGAAGATTAAGTAGATGCAAGAAGCCTTGATGCCATTTCAGAATGCCGGGGAAAGCCATTTCAGACTGGGGGACCCCTATCTTCCTACATTGAATCTTCACCCTGCCCAGGAGTGGGGAACGCTGATGTTCTTCTGCGACTATCAAAGTCCTGGTCTCACAGGTGCGGCAGCTGTGGAATTGGACAACCAGCTGCATCATGATCAACAACAACTTTGGTCACCATGGTATGGGACAAGCTACCCCAAACATCCCATAACATCCCCAAACCTGGCAGATGATGGTAGATGAAAGTCTCAAGAAGTCGATTCTGTCATTGGGATAGCAGGTGAAATGACCCACAACCGCTTCTCCGCTTTTCTAAGCGTTGGAATTTGATTGCCAAATAAACGGTGTGGGTTCGGGATCCTCATCTACCATTTTGTTAGGGATGGTTGGATGTTTTTGGCCTCGACACATATGCCTCATGTGCCTCATCACTGTATCATATCACCTCTTTTGGTCGGATTCCCCCGGGAGAATTGTCCAAATGTGCTTGCTGATTCGATCCTTATTGGCCCAAGTTTTGCTGTGGCTAGTTTGGAGGCTCAAACCTACATGATCATGTCTGTGTTTTGATGTTCATTTAATGATCAATGAATGGTTGTTCTTTGATGCTGAGTTGATTCTTATTTGATGATTATATCATATTATATCAATTATATATAATGCACAATGTAGAAAAATCATGAAAAATATAGCATATATATACACACACCCTTATATCCTCACCATGGACCACCATATGGTTTTGACCCATGCCCCATTCTGTCTCTTCGCCGTTGGCACAGCGCCGTCAGGTGACCGTAGGGAAGTCCATGTGGAGCGTGGGGAGAGCCTGGTGGAGTTGAGAGACTGCTGGATGGAGCATCAGATCTGATGAGTTTCTGCAAACATGGGGATATAGCATTCATAACTATAGTGAGATCGTGGAAAATGATGGGAAATTAATGGAAATTAAGAGATAATTATACGGTTCAATGAAAATTGAGGATATGATTGAGTCAATACTGAGCAACAATATGATAATGGTATTTGGGTGTGTCTGGAATTGATGGGCCTACCATCAATTTATGGCATTTTTGATGGGAATGATGATGAAAATCCAGTGGAATTGGGCGTACCCCTTTTCGGATATGTTTTGTGGAGGTTCATAGCCGGGAAAATCATAGAACAAAGTGGGTGATTTTCCAGCAAGCCATTGTTGATTGCGGGAGGGTATACTGCTGTCATCATATATAGGACCATGTTTGGTGAAGCCTTTGTGAATTGGTGGTCCTTTAACGTAGATCAATGGATTGGTCTAAGGGAAAATCTATAGGAAACCATAGATTTTCCCTAGATTTTCCCATGAAATGATGGGTTTTTCCATGTTTTTCCTGTAAATTTTCCCTTGAACCGGTCCTTTAGCCCTCGAACATCGCAAGATCTGCGAAGGCCTGGCCATCTTCGGTGAGCCTTGGGGCCGCGCCGGCGCAGAGCTGAAAATCATGGCGGCCATCGAGGCCAAATCTCCAGGCGCGGAAGGTGGATCAAGTAGTGGTTGATTACTAGCATATTGATAATAATATGGTCTATATTGATAGTAGATATTGATCTATATTACTATCATTAATATCTACTATATTGATCTATATTCATCTAGATAGTAGATATTGATGATATTGATCTATAGTAATATGATTCTGATTGTAAACACTAGTGGATAGTCATACTACTATCATGGTAATATTACTATTGATTAATGATAGTAAACACTAGTGGATAGTAATATTCATCTATATGATAGTAGATAGTGGATTTACATCATGATAATATTACTGGATATATTGATAGTGATATATCATGATATATCTACTAGTAATAATCTAGTAATATTATCATTATATACTGTTGAGAATTTGAATATATCATATCAATAATGATATATTAATATTGATTCAATAGTAAGCGTGTTAGTATCAGCAATGTGGTAAACTTATTAATAAACCATCACACAATTACCATACATGAACGGTATAAACAACCATCCTGCAATGGTAGGTTTATTAGTGGGTTTCCCACATTATTATTAAATCTGAATATCAATAGAATTATTCCATCCATAATATACAAGGTGGGAAATATCAATATCACAATATTAGTCCATCAATGGAAATCAATGGTAAATATATGGTGAGCTGACCGAGAATTGGGGGATTTTACCAACGGCACTGGAAATTTCACCACATATTATTTGCAACAATCAATCTCATCAACGAAGGCCATCAAGAACTTGCAACAATCAGTGATATGTTGCCTACAAAAAATCCGGGAGTGACTATATAGATCTAATTGGGCCTTTGCGCCGATGGGGTCAAGAGATGCAGGTAAGTTGTTTTCCTTTCTGGTTGGATGAATCTTGATGATGTTGATCTTGGGGTGATATTCAGGTTTGTAGAAGGAGTATGCCATTTAATTTGTCCTTTCTCTTCCGTTTTGAGAGCCTAAGAAAACATCTTGTGCTTGAAGGGAGGATGTGCATCCTAAACGTGAATTCCAGCAAATTACTGCAGATGTGAGCTAATTGAATGTTGTCACAATTTCGCAACAGAGAAATTCCATATAGGCAGAACGTGACCACAGCTTTGAATCAGGGGTACAATGTCCGGCATGCACACGTATTTCACTGTGCTTCTAGTTTTGGAGATTCCCTTTCCTGCAGGACACTACACATCTGGTGTGGGAGATGTTATATCTCCTGAGGACGCGAAAGTGGGGACAAAGAAGAGGGTCCAGAGCCCATTGCTTGCGGTCTGAGAATCTTGAAAAGAGAAGAGACCCAGAAAGAACTACAGGAATGACAAATGAGCCGGAGATTGTTTTTTTTTGGTGCCCTCAGTACATCACACAAAACAGTCTCCGATTATGTTTGCTGGCCCTCCGTCTTCCAAGACTTTCTCCATGCGTGAGGAGGGTTGGGCAGTGGACACGATGCCACTAACAGGCCTGAGACTTGTTAGTTGGGATAGAGGGCTGTAAACAACAATGCTGGATATATTCTGGTCCTGACACCGGGCCCTACTCAGAACAGATTTGGAAAGTCCGCACAAAATACACAAAAAACTTCGAAAAACACTAGGGACCATTCCATCATTTCTTTTGCCATCCCCGGATATCTCACAGTAATTGCTATAGATATTAGTGTTTCTCGTATTCCTTGTTGATGAAATCAATCTTATACTTCTTTTTGATCCTTCTTTTCCCAACAGTTGATATGAATCTAAGAATCTATAATCATCTATAATTAATCCAAATCTACTATAGATACTGTATATATAGAATGATATAAAATGATATAAACATATATAAACATTGCATGTGGTAACATCCAAAAAGCCGCAGCCAGGCGATGAGCTGTCCTTTGCACTGGGCAAGGAGGGTGCCACTCGTCGGAAACTGGCGAATGCCAGCGGTGCGGACGCCCGGTTTTTCGTCGCAGAGATGGGCGGTGAAATTCGCCGGGAATTTGTTTAGGACTTTTTGATGTTTTAAACATGTTTACACCCACAAGTTGATGTCTTTTAGGTCTGTTTTCTTATGAATCCAGCATGAACCCATCCATTTTTTTCAGTCCCATGGGCTTGACCAATGATGCCAGGCTGCATTTTGGAATACATCGGCCAAGTCGCCTACATGGCTGGAGTTCATGCCGAACGTCAGCGTGCACGGGACCTTTCGGCCGAATGGATCCGAATGGCACTCGGTTTTGGCACCCGAATCATGGTATTTCCCCTCCGGTACTAAAAATGGCTGGAAAATCCCACATTTCCATTATATAAAACTTATAACAACTCCATTTGTAGCGTATGTTCATGTATTTTCAGGTATTTCCCATTGCCATGTTTGATTGCTGGATGGTAGTGGCATCCCTGAAGTGACTTAGATACTTCATAGTTGTTCACATCCGGCTCTTTGGTTTCACTACTTCCAGCATTTCTAAGTCTCGATCTTTATCAATGGGAATCTTGGGATGATCTTCATCCATTTTCATCCCAATTCACTGAGTGATAGTCCAGGCAGCCAGGTTTGAATTCCCATATCAGCTCGCCAGTAATTTATCTCACCACGTGTGTATGGGTGGAAAGACTCTGGAACAACCAGTATGCGGGCTTCATTTCAGTATTTCGTGTATTTTTACCTATATATATATATTACATAATTATACATATATATTCTTGAATTTCAGTCTGCAATGGTCTCAAAATTTTAGAATGTCCCGAATAAATTCGTCACCATTTCAGCTCTGCGGCGGGTTATTAAAATATATTAAAATAGAGGATCACCAAAACATACCAAAAATATGGATTTCGATACCAAGTCACGGTCTAATGTGGATGATTTCATGACTTGGGAAATCTGTGAGCAGCTGGTGCCGGGTCCCAAGCCCTGCAGGACTACATCAACTGGCTGAAGCAGCAGCGCATCGGCCCGGTCTACATCGATCTGACGGGCCGCAGCGATGCCTCTGAGGTGCATCGGAGGGACTTCAAGGAGATTTTGCCAATCATTTTGCCAACCAAGTGATAGAAATATCGACAACATATGGGATTTGTAAGCTTTGAAGGACATTTCAACATATTTATATGTCACCATGTATTTCAATCCATTTTAAAATGCATTTCAAGCATGGATAGTGGAACGTGATTTAATGGCAACTGAACGAATTTATGACTAGTGGATGTAGTGGGTCAATTGAAATGATACCAATGTTGCATTGGTCCCCATCCAATGCACATTCCGGTTGACGCCCAGGTGAAAGTGCCTCGTGAATTGACTGGCATCTTGAAAGGCCGCGATGGGGGAGTTCCCCATGGATATGGGTTCGATTCCGCCAAGAGGTGAGTGTGAAGTCATGTGAAGTCTAACATGTCTTGTGAAGAGGCAGATACATGGCTTTGCGCATCATATTCTGATTGACGTACAGAATCGTACAGATGTTTGTGGATTGTTTGAGCAAAAGAAGTGCACCAAGATGCTTCATTGACAAGATTTGACCGGTTGGAAGTGCTCAGAATTGTTGCGAGTTGTTGCCACTAAAATTGTCATTTGATTAATATTATATATATATACTGTATATATATATATATATTTAACATCATTGACTGCTTTTTGAATTTGCAGACTGGAAAGCGGTATCTTTGACGACAGGCACCACCTTGAGGGATATCGAACATGAGACAGAGACCTTCTGCTTTCTTGAGGGTGACGTGGATTCTTCAGTTGCTTGGCAAATGGGATGGGTATGAGTTTCGCTGACCACCTGACCATAGGTCGGATGTAAAAACAGATGCGTTTCGCTGAGTCACCCACCATATACAATTACAGACAATTACATATACAATTACAATCAGTTAGATAATCAAAGATGTAATCCAACCCAATATTGTATGCATGCTACTGTTTGAAGCACCCAACACTTCCACATTCAGATTCTGCAGCCAGGAACGGCTTTTGATTTTTGGCGCTTCGCGGGGCCGGCGGCAAGCAGAGCGCAAGGTGGATGCGACGGATGCATTTCTTGCCCTCAAAAGATATTGAACACTTAGACATCGCAAAGAAAGATATGTGGGCATATGTGGGCTATGTACCTAAAATTAATTAATGTTAATTGGATGGTAACCAATAACCATCGATGACCATATCCGATAGTTAGACTATTAGATTGGATATTGGATGATATTGGTGTTGGTCCTAAAAGAATATCCACTGGTCGTCTTTGCTATTTATCCATGTTTTGGCGATAGCTTTTGTGTTCAAAATTTGACCCATCCACCCAACCTGCAACAATGTGGATCCATCATGATTTATCAATCCAACCAGTGTTCGCAACAAAATCTAGATTTAACTGATAGAAACCGGGAACTCACCAACAGATGGGGGTGAAACCAACACAAGTTACTGTAAATTCATCTTGACTTATCCCCAAACATCAAAAACATCCTGAAATAAACACAGTTGCACACCATTTGGGATTGAAAATCATCCCAGTAAATCTTGACTACCAAGTTGGGACTTTGAGAAACACATACCATTTTTTGTTGCAGTAAACTGAATGATATCCCGCAAAAGTGGCCAGATTTGGGGGTTATCCCCGGCCCTTGATGTTTTAACTTCCCCTGTTGGGCAGTGACCAAAACTCAGGTTGATTGTATTAGCATATATTATAGATATTTAATATTTATATATAGAATTTATATAGCATGTATTAGCCCTACTATGAGGTCAAAAAGTAGCTGGTAGAGCCCAATGATGGTCAGTTGCGGTAGCTTTTATTGCTAGTTGATTTTTTGATTATATTAGCCACTATTACATACTATTACTTTATTATACCACATGATTATGTTTGACTAATGTTATTCATTATTTTGAGGCTACCAAGTGTCAATAAATTGATGGATTGGTTCATCGATAGGTGCAGGAGCTCATCCGCGTCCGTCCACCTCGGCAACCCAACCAGGATCAACCGTGGGGGGAAGTTGAACGATTGGGTTTGGAAGATTAGTCAACTTTTGCGGTTTTTTGAAGCCATTCAAAGTGTTCGGATTTACTATGTGTTGATCAAACAAAACAGTGATGTTTAATTAAACATCTGGACAAGTAAACAATTTCTCCAAACATATCCAAATGTTCTAGTGATGTTTACATAATATGTTTGGAGAATTTGAAAGTCGCTTGCTTTGAGTTGGTCGGCCAAGTCAATGGCATCCAGGAAGACCTGTACAACGGGTACAATAACAACGGCTCCAGCCTCGACAGATGATTGGATATGGGGATGGGTCAAGTTACCTATGGATTTACCATATGACTGGGGGAAAAAAACATTTTCCATAGCCATCCAGCTACACCAACAAAACTCGTTTGGGTACCATTTGGGTACCATTTGGGTACCGTTGGTTTTGACCCATAGCCATATGGCATTGTTTGGGTTCCATAGGGCGCGTAACGAGGCAATGGTGAGAACCAGCCCATGGTGAAGGTGGAGATTCGCACAGGGCATGCCATTTGCCAATCCTTGGAGAAGGAGCCACCACTCATCAGCTGCTGCATGATATCGCAAGGGTTCTTTCTACTTGGGGGTGCAGTTGGGGTTGCTACTGTAATGGCTATAGCATAGTAGAGCCATGATTATAACCCGCAGAAATTGGGAGACAACTACAACCCCTATAACATCCTATGGTCCTATGGTTACATATGATATTTTTACTGTAACTGCACCCTCAAGTATTGATCAGAAAATAGCTGGTTTTGTCAACATATTTCTTGGCGTGGTTCGGGCGAAATCAGAAGCCATACCCAGTGGATTCTACAGCTGCAGTGACACTGCAGTGGGTGAAAACTTGATATCCTCCGGATTGGGGAAATGAACATCTCAGAGTAATCTATGTATTTTGGCAAGATGTTCTTGATCTTGCCCAAGCCCCTGGCTCGCAAAGACGGGGAATCCGGCCTTTTTGAGGAGAAGCTTCAGGCGATTCAACAAGCTTGTGGGGCTCGTTTGACGCAACAAGGTACAGAGAACGTGTCACTTGGATTGGCTAGCTGGAACGTCGTATAGGTATGTATAGGTGACAAGGGATATCTCGGGTCTTGCCAAGATCGATTATCACTTGAAGTCCACACCTGCCATGGTACAGATGGATGACAAGGGATTTGCATGGTGGAAGAAGGATCCCAGTGATTGTTTTGTGGATCTACTTCTACTTTGATCATCTTTGATTCTTACTCACAATTGGTGCCGACGATATTCAAAGACTTGCTGGGAATGTCAGAATCTGACTGACTGGGCAGATTGCATCTGAGGCTGATACAAGGATATTCTTCACAAGTGAATCTGGCACCTTGGCTCTTCGCAATGTTGCCACCGTCTGGGGCACCAACCTATTTGAGCTATATTCACCTGTTGTTGTTAGTTGGTGGTATTATGAAGGGGTCAGCTTCCCAGCAATACAGGCAGATACAGTACAGTCCACATATAGTCAACATCCGTCAACCATAGTAAGTCATAGTCAACCTGGAGTCAACCTCTATACTTTTTCACGATAATTGATGGTGAGATCACAAAGGACAGTGGATTTGGGCCAGTCTGAAGGCCAAGAAACAGCTCCAAGAGTACATCTTCGGCCTGAAAGTGGATGAGGACTGAGCTGAATTTGCCTGGACGTTTGCCATGGGTTGCCATGACTCGCTGCCATGCATTAACATCAATGGGAGATCTCACATCCACCTCGTGCATTCCAAGTACAAGACGCCTATAGCGTATATTAAGATCAGTTCTACTTCGTCGGATGTGTCCTATACTGAGATCAATCCAGGAAAATAACTGCTCTCATGGCTCATATTGCTATGGAGTCCGCCATTTTTTTTCTAATTTTCTGGTCCTTGCAGGAATTCACAACGCCCAGTGGCGTGCCGTTTCATGTCTTTATCGCCAAAGCTGCAGATGGCACGGCCTCGATTTTGGAAGAGGCGGGAACTGGGGAATCATCCCAGGAAATCCCATGATGGCCCATGGTTGATCTGGTTGGTGGTGACTGGAACATGGCTATTATTTTCCATATATATATATACATATATATATATTAAATTTATTGGGAATGTCATCATCCCAGCTGACGAACTCATATTTTTCAGAGGGGTTGAAAGGTTGAAACCACCAACCAGCATATAATCAGATAGTATCCTTGTTCCAAGACCATCTGTGACCATCTAAGAGCAAAAAAAACAGAAGCGGTTCTGACCTGGAGTTGTATGATATTGAGCTCCAGTTGGATCAACGGCACCTGTCAGGTACGGAACAGAACGCGAGTTCGTGTCCAGGCCTGTCCGGCTTTCACCTGCAAAATCCATGCATATCCATGCAGACTATGCATATTCCACAGGAAAACAATGGTTTTCGCCATTGCTTTGTCACATTGTCACATTGTCACATTGTCACATTGTCACATTGTGATGTTGTTTTGATATCACCGTACATATAGAATCATATTTATATGAAAACTTTATGATATGTTCTATATATATATATAATTTCTATGATGAAAACCCATGTTTCAATTGTATGTTTTGCTCTTGTGTTTTGTCGCATTTACGTCACGGCGCAGGTGAAACAAGCTGAGAAGAAGATCATCCTTTCCGGCATCTTTTCCGTCGAGGGCTTGACATTTCAGGGGATTAGTCACTGATTGGATGATTTTGGGTGGTAGGGAGTTCTAGGTCCAGTTTTCATGAACCGTTTAAGATGGATGTTGCCAAGCTAGACTGAATGCGTAGAATCTGAGTGTACAAGGGCAGTCTTCTTATTTGCTGTTGAGCTGTTTGGACATCTTGGACATACAATTCCAACTCTTCAATTCTAGTGGCAACAGCCCCAGGTCCAGAGGTTCCAACGTTTCACCTGGGGATCTCTAAGGTTGTGTCCAACGCCCGAAGAGATCTCCAAATGTTCCTGAGTTCTTTCGTGACGCATGAGGCGGGGTTCAGCATTTCACTGGTGGTTTCCTATATTTTAGAGGTAGCCATGATGCCATGGAACCGTGAAAATCATCATAAATCATCCATGTTCATAGGATTTTCATAGGATTTTCATAGGATTTTCATCGGATTTTCATCGGATTTTCATAGGATGTTCATAGGATTTTCATCGGATTTTCATCGGATTTTCATAGGATGTTCATAGGATTTTCATCGGATGTTCATCGGATTTTCATAGGATGTTCATAGGATTTTCATCGGATTTTCATCGGATTTTCATAGGATGTTCATATTTTCATCGGATTTTCATCGGATTTTCATAGGATTTTCATCGGATTTTCATCGGATTTTCATAGGATGTTCATAGGATGTTCATCGGATTTTCATCGGATTTTCATAGGATGTTCATAGGATTTTCATCGGATTTTCATCGGATTTTCATAGGATGTTCATAGGATTTTCATCGGATTTTCATCGGATTTTCATAGGATGTTCATAGGATTTTCATCGGATGTTCATCGGATGGATGTTCATAGGATTTTCATCGGATTTTCATCGGTTTTTCATAGGATGTTCATAGGATTTTCATCGGATTTTCATCGGATTTTCATAGGATGTTCATAGGATTTCATCATCGGATTTTCATAGGATGTTCATAGGATTTTCATCGGATTTTCATCGGATTTTCATAGGATGTTCATAGGATTTTCATCGGATTTTCATCGGATTTTCATAGGATGTTCATAGGATTTTCATCGGATTTTCATATAGGATGTTCATAGGATTTTCATCGGATTTTCATCGGATTTTCATAGGATGTTCATAGGATTTTCATCGGATTTTCATCGGATTTTCATAGGATGTTCATAGGATTTTCATCGGATTTTCATAGGATTTTCATCGGATTTTCATCGGATTTTCATCGGATTTTCATAGGATGTTCATAGGATGTTCATCGGATTTTCATCGGATTTTCATAGGATGTTCATAGGATTTTCATCGGATTTTCATCGGATTTTCATAGGATGTTCATAGGATTTTCATAGGATGTTCATAGGATGTTCATAGGATTTTCATCGGATTTTCATCGGATTTTCATAGGATGTTCATAGGATTTTCATCGGATGTTCATAGGATGTTCATAGGATTTTCATCGGATTTTCATCGGATTTTCATCGGATTTTCATAGGATTTTCATAGGATTTTCATATATGATTTTCCATGACAAACCATCCATTTTTTAGATGAATCCCTATAGGAAACCTCCAAGTGGACCTGGATATGCCCCAGGTGCATCTCCAAAAGGAACAACTGGAGAAAGTCTCTGCCCTGGGAAAACAGCGCTTTCCAAAGTTGACGCTTGGCAGTAATTAAAAAAATGGGATCAATTTATGGGATCAACTTTCCAGGTATCATCAGGTATCCAGTTATTCTCATTTATTCTCCATTTTTTTCAGGCATCCGGAGTTTTTTTTGTGTCGAATTGCATGTTTGGTTGCTTGAGCTAAGGAACAACTTTCGACACCTCGTCACGGCACAAATCAACAAGGTCGGGCATGTCCGCTGAAGGGACAGGTGGGCTCGCTCACCAAAATCAACATTAGGCCCAGGCTCTGATGTTTCTCCTAGGCTTGTATCGGACCAAGAACTTTAGTGCAACTAGGAACGTATACAAATTGCTCGGTGGATCTCGGTGGGTTCATCCAGACAATCCTTCAAAATGCTCTATGTCAATGAAACATAAGGCCGTAGATTCGTAGATCCGTTCATCCTTTGGTTCAGTGCTTCCCCACCGCGGTTGCGGCAACTTCCAACAGGAGCAATTGAAGCTCACTTTGTCTGGAGCACCAGACGCTGTGGGTGAGGCTTCGCGGGATGTGGATGGAACCTTTGGAACAACAGCAGATTGCAACCTGCATCTCCTTGGTGGATTTCAAGGTTATATCTGTGGGGCTGGAAACCGGCTGTGGACATCTCTGGACACTCTTTTTTTTTCGAAGACCGGTAAAGTATGACAACCCATTGTGATCCATTACCCATAGGATCCATGTATGGTATATATGCTAACATTGGGGGTATATTGATGGTAAATGTTACCATATATGCCATACATGGATCCTATGGGTTATGGCCTTCCCACGGTACTTGAAGGTACTGAGACAACAGATTTGTTCGGAGCCCTTGAGGCCAGAGATGCGGTGGACAGTCTCTTCAAGAAGGAAGATTGGACGATGCCCACTGCAGATATGTCACTGGGCCAATGGGTGGAAGCCTGGGAAAAAAAATGGTAAAACAGGGAAACTAGGACAGGACAGGTTGGAGGTTAGGTGGGAGGCTGTTATGTTTTTGTTCAATCTTGTAATCTGAAATGTTTGACTGTTTCTTTTTGATTATCCTGCTAAATGTTTTGTTGAGGTTGTTGTACTAATGCTTGGGTGCTATGATTTTATGTTGGTGTTCATGTTCGTTGGTTTTGATGTTTTTTCCTGTGGGGGTTCTGGGGATTAGTTCACTTCAACATTGGGTGTCTTGTTGTCTTTGGGGATGTTGATTGTTGCTCCTAATGCTTGTGGTTGGGGTTGCTTTCCTCTTACTCTTCTTGCTTTGGGCGGTTTGGTGGTTGTGGATGGGTCTTCCTGAAATTCTCTCTTCTCCTGCGTTGGCGGTTTTGGTTTCTGCCTCTTTGCTTTGGACTGTCTCACGCTTAAGGGTTTCCTCTTTTCTGCTGTTGGTATTGCCGAAGTGTCCATTGCTTCTGCGGTGTCGGGCACTACATCTACGTTCATTTTTGATTTTTCCTCCTTCAACTTCTTTTGGTGATTTACCTTTTTGACTTGTTTGTTGATTAGTTTTTGTGTTGGTTTTATCTTGGACGGTTTCTCTTCCTCGTCTTCGTCGGGTATGATGGCGTCTGTCAGTTTTGATGCTATTAGTCCTCCTATTGACCCTCCCTTTGCTGTTCCTCCTGCTGTGGCGACTGCTTTGATGACTGGTTTGGATGATTTAAGGAATTTCTTTAAGATGCTTCTACTGCTTGAAGGCGGTTCTTCGTCCTCTTGTATCCCTGCCGATGCTGTTGCTCCGACGGCGTCGTATGCCCCTTTGTTTGCCATATAATCCATATAGTGGTCTTGTGAATGACTTAAGTTTGCCTGTTCGGCTACTCTCCTTTCGTTCTCTTCCCTCAACTCTGCCTCTCTGTCAAAGGACATCTCAAAGTCGCTGATGGCGTCGTCCCTCAAGTCGGTCATATCTTCAAAGTCAAGGTTGGGTGTTTCTTCTTCCTTCCTTGCGGTCGCTTCCTCTGCCATCTTTTTGAAGTTCATTTGCTGTAAGTCTGCTGGGTGGATGTTGTTTGTGTTCAGTGCTTGACCCTGCGGACTTTCGTGAAAATACCAAGCGTTCCTATCAAAGATTTTTCTGATGTCATTGGTTTTGAACTTTTCCCTGTCTATTTCCTTGATGAGTTCTGCGTAAGTGGGTATTCGTGTCAATCCCTGTTTTGCATTGATTACTTCTACTGTCATTGCTATACATTAATACTTTAGATTTTTATATTAATCTTGTGTATCGCCTCTCAACCACTGTTTATACTCATCAATTCTCTGTTTCATATTCTGGACGTTCGCCCCGTAATCTTCCAATCTGTGATGTTTCCTCACCTCCCTCAACCTTGTCATTTCGTTCTGTAGCATCTCATTCTCTTCCTTCATCCTCTGCTTGACCTGTAAGACCTTGTAATCGTGCTCGGTGTTGTGATATTCAAGAAGACGCTTCAGGTAAAGATGATGGTTGTGAGTTGGCATCCTTGCCGTGTTGCTGTCGTTGTGGTAGTAGTGGTCATAACTACTATACACTTTTTTTCTTCTGTCTGGCATTTCGGGCGTTCCGCTCCTGTAGTTGGCACTTTTGTTTGAATGGACGGTTTGTCTTCTGTTGATGTCCCTGCGGACGTCTTCGTAGATGTCTGTTTTGTTGAGTTCTATTTTTTGTTCCTTGATGTTCATTTTTATATATAATACTTTATAAAATGTTTGATGCTAAAGATTTCAATTTCTCTCTCATCGCTTTGTTCTTTTCCTCTTTGGCTTTGTTGTAGATGTCTCTGGCGGACATCGCACTTTGTAGTTCTTCCTTTATTTGTTTTACAAGGTCGCTCTTGAATGCTTCTGGGTCAAAAGGTGGTTTCGCCCTTGACGGTCTTACCCTTTTGGGCTTTGGGACTACCGTTGCTGGTTGCGGTTTCACTTCAACGGATGGTTCAATTATTTCTTCTGGTTTCTCCTCTTCTTTCGGTGCTTCTTCCTGTGTTGGTTCTGGTATTGGTTCTTCCTTGTGTTCTTCATTATCAATCTCTTTTACGACTACCTCTGTCATATATTAATATTATAGAATATTATAGATAATTTTTTATACTGTCAAAATCTCGTGCCTCAAATACGGTTTGTTCAATCCTTCCAGTTTGAAGGTTCTGTTTCCGACATCATCGTATTCTATCTTGGCGATTTTGTAGGATTGATTGCTCCACTTTGAGTTATACTCCTTCCTCTCGGTGTAGTTGTCTTTTTTCTTCTCAAAGACCTTGACCATATCATTCACTTTGACCTCTGGATATTTGCGAGTGTTCTTTTCCCTCCTTGTCAAATTCACCCTGACGTCCATATGGTTCTTGTCGTCGTGGGCATCCTTGGGTTTCATTTTGGTTGATGAATGGACGGTGTCGTTGTATTTATCTGAATTTATCTAACACTTTGGACAACATCACAGTCCAACTACCGCGATTAAACCTAACTCTATCGTGTATCATATTTTTCATTGTCCTTATGAAACGCTCCACAACATTAGCGTGTGTTAGGGTGACGACGTGAGTGATGCCTTCTTTCTCAAAAAAGTCTTTTACCCCTGCTTGGAAGGCACGGTCATTATCACTATAAACGGACATTGGAAAACCCATTTTGTTGAAACTCTCTTTCATCGCCGATAATGTAATTGGTCCGGATTTTTCTTTCATAGGGACGACGTTTGCCAACTTGCTGAAGATGTCAATGACCACCAACCCATATCTCGGTTCGTCGTTCTTGATGGGAATTTTCGTCTCTGGTTCTTTGGTAAGGGGTTTCATATCCATTATGTCAACCTGATACTCAAACCTTGCGAAGGGTGCGGTGTAGGAGTTTGAACCCCTGTATTTTCTAATCTGTTTGTTGGGTTGTTTCCTCATAAAGTTTTCCACATCCACCCTGTTGATGGTCTGGTCTTGTTCCTTGGCTTTCTTGCGGGTCTCATTGATTGAACCGAAGCCCGTTTCAAGATTGTAATAGACATTGCTTATGATGTCATCTCGTGATAGTCTCCTTGCCATATATTATAATATTAGATTTTTTAAATTATCAGCAATAAAAAATATACTTAAAGAAAAAATACCTATGTATAGTAAGAGTAAATAAGATGACTAAATTTGACTGTGGATGTCGTATTATGACAGATGTTATAACCCTGAACGGAAGAAACCAACCTAATTGGAACTACTTGCTCAAAACCTTCGTGAATGTGTGTGGCAAGTGCTACAAGAAGCAAATGAAATTCCAATATATGGAAAACAAACTTATGGTGATGGAAAAACAAAGAATGGAAATGTTTTTTGGAAAATGAAGATGAAGAGGAAGACACATACTTTGACCTGACAGAGTTGAAGGAACATCTCAAAACCCTCCCACCCAATGAAAGACACAAAGTGAAGGATTTTGAGAGGTTAAGAAACCTCGCCAATGGACAAGACCCCAATGAAGGAATGAGTGAAATTGATATGGTTATAAAGGAACTGGAAGAGGAGGAAAGGGAAAACAAAAACTAACCCGATTCCGAAAACTGAACGAGCCCCCAAAAACTACTTAAAGAAAAAATGACTATATATAGTAAGAGGATGCTATTTACATATAAAAGCTGTGGGTGTTGTACAAAAGAAATGACTAACCAAAAGGTTTTATTGAACAAGATTTTCCCTGCTAGAATTTGTGACGAGATATGTAGTTATAATCTTCACTGTTCAAAATGTAAAGACTTGAGAGAAAAGGAGTATAGATATATAACATACAATCAAGACTACTTTGAAGATAAAGAAATCAATTCAGTAGCAGAAAAACAAATATATGTCTTTAAAGCAAGGATGGAAACATCGCCAATAGATTTGTCTGATAATGTGAATGACCGACAAATGAGAAGAGAAATAGACATATTGATGAAAAGTCCTACACTGAAGAAAGGCATATTTCTTCAAGCGACTAGATCTTATGTAAAGAAAAACTTGGGACATACATATCAAATGCTTGAAGACCTTCACAATATAAAAGCAATAAATAATTCTTGGATGTTTCCTAGCTTAAACCGTTATTATGAATTTAGAAATATAGATTTCAGATTAAAAGACCTATTCAAGTTTTTCTTTCGTGAATATACTAAAGAATTATTCAAACACTATGAGCATTACATTAATCAAGATGAAATGAAAGAACACCTACAAAAAGTGATAGATACTTAAAGAAAAAATACATATACTGTATATATATATAGTAAGTGAAAAATGCCAATGATTGGAGTTAGTGAAGAGGAACTAAAAAGAGATAGAGAAAGATTAATGAATTTCATAAAAGAAAATCCTTATCCTGATTATAACTTTATAGAATATGACCTACTACTTAAGCAAAAACAGTCTTTAGAGCAATACGCAGAGTATGGAGAGATAAACACGACCTTATGAAAGAAATTTATGAAAACATATTTGATAAAGATTTAATCAAAAAACACGGTGAGAGGATACACCATAGAGGAGGAATGACAGCATTACAACAAAACTATTATACACTATTGTCAGTGTTGGGATACTTGATTGACCAACGAGGATTTGATAGAGACACAATCATTTTGGTGTTCTACAACATCAAAACGATTGTTTCTCAATGTTGGGATGGAATAGGTAGTGGTGATGAAAAGTGGAGACACTAAACCTAACGATTAGTTCATAATATCTCAATAAAATATATTATGATGTAATCCACCCTAAAAACCCCTTAAAGACATAACCCCTTAAAATTGTAGAGGTATAATGACTGACAAAAAGCAGTGTTCTAAATGTAAAGTCTTTCAACCGTTAGACTACTACAAAAATTCATGTAAGCAGTGTAATAAATGTTTAGAAAACAAACGCAGATACAGGGAACAGCACAAAGAAACTTTAAAACAATATGCTCAACAATACTACGAAAGGAAAAAGGAAGAATTAAGTGATAAAAAGAAAGAAACGTTGGAATGTCCAATTTGTAAATGTGAAGTAAGAAAATATACAATGAAACGACACGAAGAAAGCATCAAGCATCAAATGAACATTAATGGACACTATCTCATACAGTAAAACCACAACAACCTCAACATACCCTACCCTCATCCAAACCAAACATTAATCAAACAACTCCGACGAAACATTTAGCAAGATTAACAGAAAGAAACAGTCAAACATTTAGATTTACAACATTGAACAAAAACATAACAGCCTCCCACCTGACCTCCAACCTATTTCAACCTGTCTTGCCCCAGTTCCCCTGTTTTACCATTTTTTCTGGGACATGCTGATTATTTTGGGGTACCAATTTATTCAATTTAAGGTTCACCATGTTCACCAGTTCACCAGCATGTCATGCCATGAAAATCATGAACATGAACCAGTGAACAAATGACGGTGGTGATTTCCCCATCGTCAATTCATGGTTGCACAGCAGTGTTCAAATGAGCAGCTTCATATTGAGTGGATGTAAGGTCGCGTTCCAAAGGACCAGCCCCTAGATGTGACCACACATGCTTGGTTTCGTTTTGTATTTTGTATTTCAAAAATGATACTATACAGATGTATACAGTATTGTTGAGCCATTCTTATCTATGTATTCGTTAATATTCTATATACAGATACATGTACATGTTGTATATGGATACCCCTGCATTTGGGAAAGAACAACGTGTCCAACGATATTTTGGAGCTTGCTGAAGAATTTGATTAGAAAAATCACTTCCACATCAACTTGGGGATATCGTATTGGTTTAAAAAAAACAACGCCCTGAGGTACCAGTGGAATTCCAAGGATGTTGTACATAGTCTGTTTTCCCCATGTTCCGGGGTCCAAAGGCCATCAAAGGCCCCACACTGCCGCCGCTGGAAACTGAGTTTCGCTTCCAAACACAGCATGTCCCGCAGCGGGAAGGTTGACGCAGAGGGTGCAGGCCCGGGTGCATCAATGGGTGGATCCAAAAATGCGGGGGATATTATGATATACTGTACCCCAAAAATTGGCATACTGTAGTCCTATGGTAAACATGTTTGAAACAAGGATAATCCCTTGGTATTGGGGATACTCCAATTTTCTTCAAGTATTATATGATATTATATGATATTATATGTTGTTTCTCTTAAGCGTACAGTCGGCTGATACATTCCAATTCACTGACAGAGTTGGGATGGGTTGACCAGGCACGAATGAACATTTTTGTAACACTGAGATGTTGAATTTCACAGTGTATGCATCAGATATTATCAGATTATATACCTTTCATTATTTTTTTGAATGGTGTACCTCAGCATGAATCGTTTTCCCAATCCGGGAAGTGACTGAAACAAGGTGACCCTTCATCATCCATTATATTGTGGATTATTTCTGAACCAGGGATGAACATAGTTTATCAGTAGGTTGGTCTCTTTTCCTGTTGGACGATCCTCAGATAGATCATCCCCAATTTTACCCTCTGGTAATTTAACATAGCTATTGAAAATGGCCATTTATAGTGGATTTTCCCATTAAAAATGGTGATTTTCCATAGCTATGTTAGTTTACCAGAGGGTATGTTTGCTGCTTTCACAACTCATTGCAAGCCCTGCCAGGATTTCTGATTAGAACGCCCACAGAGACCAGAGTCCTCCGTAGTCATCGCTGTCCCAATTTCTTTGAAGGAACAGGTGGCAAGAAACAAGAACTAACAACAACTTCACCAGCCTCCTCCCATGACTTTCCCTTGAAATCGACCCAATCATTCCAGTCATGGCAATTCAGTCCAGTCAAAGCCTGTTTAGGACCGGACAAAGGGGGTGCTCGCCGGGATCCGCGCACGGCGGAGATCATGCAGCTGTCGGTGCCTGGGAATGAGGGGGCCTGATCTCAAGAATCATCCAGATTTTGGGAAGATTTGGGAAGTGGAAGAAATGATTCTGCAATCAGTTAGAGTTTATGTTCAGGATTGAAAAAATCACTCAACCGAATCGTTAGCCAAGATCCATTGATATCCATTGCACCCTTAGCCAATCACTGCTTCGTTAGGAGATGGATTCGGCCTTCATCTTGGGTCGTGGTGGAAAGACGAAGCACAAAATCGCGCGGGTCTCTGGCGCCGCCCTGGAACTGCACGAGCACAACTGCTGCTTGGCACGACAGCATCCCTCAAGTGTGATGGGAGTGGACCAGACATGGATGGTGCAATAGGAGGGTGTAATGCAATGAATGCAATGATAGGTAGTGGCACCAAAGACAGCTAGCAATTTTGATTGCAGGTTTGGGGATGTGCGCGCAGATGTTTGAACGCATGTCAGACAATTAATAACATTAATAATGTTATACAGTGGGTTCAAAAATCAGTGTTTAAACTTTAAACCGTTGATTTTTAGTTTTAGTGGTATTATCAACCGTACAGTGTAGGACATATGGAACAATATCCCAGTCATGTATAGTTTCCATTCCAGATCATCAGGAGCGCTTTAGCTTTCCAACCTCATCACGTACCTTAATCGTATCTACAACATTCTGCAGCAACAGTGTTAGTTTCATATTCCCAACTGATACTCGTAGTTGGAAACACGGTCAAAACATATTCCCCAGGTTACAATCAATTGTAACTTATAATACTATATAATACTATTATAATTATATATGTGATTATATTATGTTTATATTTCAACCACAATCATCTTGAAGCAACACTTTGCAAATCATCCTTCAACATGTTCCATGCCATTTCCCACTTTTTTTAGTGGACATATTGTGGGAATATTGTGAGAACATGGGAAGATTCCGCACATTTTCCATGCCAATTCTATCCATTTCTACTCGAAAATACCCCATTCCCATCCATTCCCACTTCCCAGGCACCGTGGAGATTGTCGGCCCCGAGCCTGAGAGACGCCGCGCGCGGAAGTACATCAACCTGGCCCGGGGACCCGGTGCTGAATGCTGAAGATTGCTATGAAAGCCCCAAAATTGGAGGATCAAAATCTGGGAAAATGATGGAACATGAAAGCCCCGGCATCTATGGGATCTATGGGATTGATGGGATCGATGGTTCGTGTCGATTTTTGACCCAAGGTCCAGGTGTTTGAATCGAACAACATTGATGGCCAATATTGATGGGAGGGCTTGATAACATGTATCAACGCACACTTTTAAGGCAAGGTTTGGCCAATTTTTCCAAGAGGTTTGGAGTGATCCCAGCAAATCCTAAATTATAAGGACTTTGCAGCGAGGTCACTGAAAATGATGATTGGTTGGGGGATGTGGGGGGAATCATTCCAGCAATGAGTTAATTGATATCAGTTTGTTCCAGGCTTAGGAAGTATATTATCATTACCCCAGTACCCCAACAATGGCTAATACATTTACTGCAATACAGCTACTATACAATGCCCCGCCATGCCCCGCCAATGAAATTGGGGTAGAATATGGTAGAATTATAGATTCTTAACAATATAACATAATATAACAGGGGCAATAGCTATATGTCATTGGCCTATAATAGAGTAGTATTATGACATATTATGACCAATAGCAGTTTGATTTGACCCCAAAAAACATTGGCCTTCTGGCTGTTGCAGGTCCGAGCCCAGCGAGTGGGGCCAGTGCACGTTTCTCAGGAGCATGACGATGGGGAGCCTTGGCTGAATGATACCATAATGATACCATATTCAATGATCCATCATGTCTATACATACTATATCTATCTATCTTATCTTATCTTATCTTATCTTATCAATCTATCTCTCTATCTCGATCTCGATCTCTATCTCTATCTATCCATCTATGTGTATGTTATATTTATATATGACCAACTGTTCCCTCAGCATGCAGCATCTGTTCCATCGCTCCATTGACTCCAAGGATCTCACCATGATTCCAGTGCCATCCAACTGCGTTGGCTTCGTCACGGGCTCGCAGGGCAATTTCCTCAGGCCCTGCGGATGAAGGGAAAAGCCATCGAAAATCCATGGGAAAAACGAGAGTTTCCTGTAGATTTCCCCACCGGTTGAAGTTCTTTGGATTTTTTGATCCACTGCCCTGTAGGCAGCTCGAGACTTGCACATTTGCTCAAGAAACGGTTTGTTGCATCTTGTAGCCATAGCCACCGGGGTAGAATCACAGCACTTGCTGATTGCCTGTGGTGAACCGCGGTCGCGCGAAGGACTTGCGAAGAGGAATGGAGTACCTTGATGTTCTTCTGCGACTACCAAGGCTCGAAGAGCTTCTCAGCACAGAGCTCTTCGTGAGCGGAGAAGAGTGAAATAACATGCTGTTCCAAATGGTAGATGAGTAAACTGCCAAAGCGTGGTTGCTGAGTTTTGACTCACTATGTATCAATGCCAACCAGTTACACGTTTTTCCTCAGCGTTTGTTTTGTGGGAAGCAATGTTCACATCTTCAACCTGAAACGATCATGATCTCACACTATGTTGATCCACTTAAAGCTTATAGCTCGTCTCATTTCAAATGTCTCTACTCATCCAGCTTGACCTTAAGAGTTCATGGTCAGGGCCTGGTGGCAACGAAGATTCCGAGAACTTGGTGCGCTGAGGGCTGACAGGGGCAATGAACTTGGGAGGTGGCAACTAACCTCTTTTCTGAACGAGCAATCTGCCCTGTGGCTGCAGAACAATGCAATCTACTGTATCATGTTTGTACAAGTATGTTGTGGCTGGAAAAACGTTGCGCACACTGGTTTGAAAGGGCAGGGCTTGGAGCATCTTCCAATATTGATGCATATTGTATTGTGTGGCAAGCGCTTTAGATGCGCCTGTTGCCTGCACCGATCGATTTTGTGCAAGTGCACTACCGGGTGCGAGATACAACATTTACTAACAATTACTGACAGAAATGGCTGATTTTTAAGAAATACGTGTTATACATATATATATATGTATTATATAAATTATATATTATATACATACATGTATAATAATATATATATATATATCAGAAAGGACTGTTGTGGCCGCCCAAATCTCACACTTAATATGTATAAAGAATACTTCTTGTGAGATTTGGGTGTCACAACATTCCCTTCCGATAACTTGTGTTCTTGTGAGATTTGGGTGTCACAACATTCCCTTCCGATAACTTGTGTGTTGATATCTGTTCAAGCCCCAAGGATTAATCTGGATTAATCTGGGACCAAAAAAACCAAAAAAAACAAAAAAAAAAAAAAACAAAAAAACACAAAAAAAACAATGTTTTCAGGACTACTTGGATCAGGGCTATCTTTAGACTAGTCTCCAAAACATTGTTTTTTTTGTTTTTTTTTTTGTTTTTTTTGTTTTTTTTGGTCCCAGATTAATCCAGATTAATCCAGATTAATCCAAGCTAATCTACGATCATCAGATCTATTTAACATTTAAGTACTAACATGTGGTTGGCTAATTTTCTATATTCTCTGGTCATCTGCCTTTATTGGCTTTTAGCGCCGCTCTCTCTGTGTCTGGACTCCTGAAGCAAGTTAATCTAAGATCATCAGATCTATTTAACTACTACTTTCTAACATATGGTTGGCTAATTTTCTATATTCCCTAGTCATCTGCCTTTATTGGCTTTTAGCGTCGCTCTCTCTGTGTCTGGACTCCTGAAGCTATGGCATGTGGTTGGCTAATTTTCTATATTCTCTGGTCATCTGCCTTTATTGGCTTTTAGCGCCGCTCTCTCTGTGTCTGGACTACTGAAGCAAGTTAATCTAAGATCATCAGATCTATTTAACTACTAATTTCCAACATGTGGTTAGCTAATTTTCTATATTCCCTGCTCATCTGCCTTTATTGGCTTTTAGCGTCGCTCTCTCTGTGTCTGGACTCCTGAAGCTATGGCGGACATCTTCAACAAGGCGTGTCAAATCTCTACCACGCTGCAATGTTCATCCTTGGCATCTGTTATGTCTGTGACAACCGAGCCGCAACATGACTTCGACGTCATCCCCAAGAAGAAGTTGCAAGGCACCTCCAAGATCAAGGCTGCTATCGAGATTCTGAAGTTTACTCCAGTCAATGGTCTGGAATTGGATGCCATGGTTGCCATCATCGCCCAGAAAAATATGAGCAACTTCCTGGTCCTCTTGCCCTCAAGAATGAAATCCCCATACCCTTCACTATGCAAATGGTCTTTCGCAAGATCAATGCTCGGGAATTCCAAGTTCTTCGACATTTCAACTTTGAACAAAAATTAGATTCTCGTTTGCTGATGTCTGCTGTGTCTGGCGAGCTTTACCTCCTCGACTATGGCAAGAATTTCAGAAGTGGAGCATTGGGATTTCAATTCCTCTTGGAAAAGCTCGGTGACTTGCCATCTTTGCCACCAATTCTCATGAGACGTTCAACTACTGCTACCCGGAACAGACGCAAGAAGTAGCTTTCACGGCTGGAAGACTCTGATCATACGTGGGGAGGCTGAAGACCTGTGTCTGTAGATAGATGCTGCCGCGCAGTTTTGTCTGCTTGTCCTTTAAAAAAAAATCTCACAGAACTGCTTGTGTTCTTTTCATTTTGTCTTCCCTTTTCATTGAGTTGCTTTCTGTTTGTTTGCTTGTCCTTACAGAAAATCTCATAGAACTGCTTGTGTTCTTTTCATTTTGTCTTCCCTTTTCATTGAGTTGCTTTCTGTGATGCATGGTTTCAACTTCTTAGGTTGCTGACTTGCCACTTCCCATTTCTGTTTGACAAAGCTGATGAATCCAAATGAAAAGTCCAGATTCTTCATAGCATGTCCTTACCACTATTTGTTGCAGTTATTCACATGGTCCCGCAGCGTTTCTGAGCATACAGCATCATTCCGGTAGGCATCCCCTTGTAGCTATGGATGTGCGCGGCAAAGCAATTCTCAAAGATGGGCGCAAGATTGTCTTGGAGCTTGAACCAGGTGTTGCCCCACAACCTTCTACCACTCCTCCGCATCCAGATGCTTTAGTCCAAGAGATTGCTGACGGAAAGTTGTTGGTTCATCCTTCCAAAGCCCAAATCACTGTTCGCCGCATCCAAATGCAGATTTGTAACATTCAGCGTGGATTGCGGCTGTTGATTGGGGCAGAAGGACAGTGGAGCAATGAAGCAGATGAAAGGCTCAAGTCATGGTTCTTGCGTGCAGAAAGGAAGAAGAATCGCACCGACACACCTTCGCCTAGTCCTAGTGCCTTGGAAGATGCTTCTTCTTCCAGGCGCCTTGCCTTGGAAGATCCTTCTTCTTCTACACCCCTTGCCTTGGAAAATGTCAAGCCTGAGAATTCTTCTGTGGAGAACCATGCTACCAATGCCTTGGACGATGACAACCCTACAGCCATCATTTGTGAGGATTCCTATGTGGACAACCATGGTGCCAATGTCTTGGACGATGACAAGCCTGCTGTTGAGTCTCCTACCGGTGAGGTTGAAGCTGATGTCTTGGACGATGCCAAGCCTGCTGTTGAGTCTCCTACCGGTGAGGTTGAAGCTGCGGAGGATCACCATAGTTCCAATGGCGCTGATTCAAGCGATGCGTCGTCAACATCTTCCTCTTCGTCATCGGCTACCAGACTTCGTGCAACGATTCAGCGCTCAGTGTCTGCTCTCCAGGAGATCCATGACATTGTTAGTGACAGTTGCCCAGATTGTGCAGATGCCCTGTTGCAAATCCAAGATTCACTAGCACAGGCCTTGAAATGAAGCTGCACTTGAATGCTCCGTTGTGTATGCTGACTTCGTCTTCCATCGCGCATTGCTCTTGGCATGAAAAAAAATCTGTCTTGCGCTCCGCCGGGCTCCATAACCAACTCTTCAAAATGTGTAGGTTTCCCAGTGAAATAGTTCATGGTTAATTAAAAACTTGACAACAATAGTTAAAAAAGAGGCGGCCACAACAGTCCCCTCCCATATATATATATATGATGTATTTATAGATGTTGGTTGTCATATATGTTTTCCATGTATTTCCAGCACCAGGACTTGCCATAGATCGATCGTCGGATGTCGTGAGGCCATCTTCGGCAGCCGCGCGGGGCGCACCGGGGCTGAGTTGAAGGTCATGGCAGCCATCGAGGCAAAGTTGCCGCCCCTTGGTGGATGGATGGGAACTGGCTGTATTCTATGGGGAGGAAACTTGGATCTATGTGGATCTATGGTTAATGAATGTTAATATGTTTTAAAGATCTCTTGAAATATGTGTTCGAACACTGGGAAATGTGTGGAAATGTGTGGGTTTGTGATTTTTAACGATCATTTTCTTCATCCTTGAAACTCATCACTGGGTCGCTGAGGTCCTATTTCACCAAGGAGTTGTCGCAGGAGTTCTTCTCCCAGGAGCTTAGTCGTGGTCAGTGGGATAAATGGATATTCTGGGTCAGTGGGATGATGTAACTAGTATGCAGTATGCGTATTAGCTATAGTAACTATAGTACTGGGAATGACTGGATTCTGATTGATGAAAATTGATGAAGGATGGGATGATAATTAATGATGATGCATCATGGGGTAGGATGATTGAGATTAATATTAGCCCATCAGTGGGTAATATTATAGCATGATGAATGAAAAAGTAACGACATTTGAATATGTGGAGGGCGGGCCAGACCGCGAGGCCCCGGAGGTACTATGAAATACCAGTTCGTATATTTAAATGCAGTTACCGTATGGTTGAATGATTATGAATGACTCAAGTGCCTGCCAGGAGGATTGGGGTCGCGACACCATCCCTTTGGAAGACGAGGAATTGTCCTTTGCCCTGGGCAAGGATGGATCTACGCGGAAGAAGCTGGCAAAAGCAAGTGGCTGCATCTTGGAGAGCCTTGCCTGAAGGGACTTACATGAACTTATTACATGATATGGGCCATGATATGGGCCATGGGGGAGCCCAAGGTGACCTTCACCGGATCGGGGTTGCTGTATGCATCTGTGATCTAATATGCAACGCCTACAGCCATCTACAGAATAAGATGTTATGTCATGTGTGTCATGTGTGTATACAATGTACATATATGTAACATGTACGTAGATTTTTCGGACATATCTTTCCATAACTGGAGAAGCGACACCTGCAAGCTGCCCAGGTATGTCGGCCACGTGGCCTTTCTTGCTGGTTCGCTGCCTGCCAGAAGGCCCTGGTATTCTCAACTCGGGGACAGAGTTGATCGACATCGTTTGGAAGAAAAACCTCTTTTGGAAAGCGATCGTCTGACGGTCTATTCAGTTCTTTCCTTAAATCAACATACCCTCTGGTAAACTAACATAGCTATGGAAAACCACCATTTTTAATGGGTAAATCCACTATAAATGGCAATTTTCAATAGCTATGTTAAATTACCAGAGTGTAATCAAAGCAGTAGATGAAATCACTGTAGTTGCTGTATGTTGCTGTAAATATCGTTGGAAGTAGCCATGTGTAGCCGCTTTTATAAATCTGCCAGGAGAGCTCGAGACTACTTGTCCTGGCTCCTGAAGCAGCGCACTGGGACTGTTTATGTGGACACCAGCAGCAGAGCCTTGCTTCCAATTGTTGGCTCACCCTAGCTGCGATTGTGAACAAGCTTAAAGGATTCTTATATATTCTTATAATATCTTATATATAATTCGTATATAATTGTCGATCTAAAGGTCCATGTAGAGATTGTCCATTACAAAGGTCGCCAGGGTTCCAACATGAGACCCCGCGATTTTGTTTTCTGAGTTCGCAAAAGTTGTTTTTTGGCGAAGGATTTAGCGAGCAATTTTAACATGAGACCCCCGCGGAAGATAAACGTGGGGTTCGCCCAAGATTCGCGAATATATTTTTCTTATTCGCGAAGAATGGCCGTTTGTACTGTAGTAGATACAGGAATTTAGATCAACCGCCATATATAATCTCACACTTCAGATCAACAAGTTGAATTGTAGACCTCTGTTCTGTCAATTCAGGACCCCCCGCAATCCACCAAGTATTTTCCTTTTCTGGTCAAACCACTTAGTTGAGTATAATTTTTGCAGACGTAGATATTGATTCTGTTCTGCAAGAGCTAAATTTGGTGATGGCAGGGTAACAAATTCCATCTCCTGTGGCACTGAGGAAATGATGTCACAGTTGTGGAGATCCCTCAAGATCTGGAGGCTTCCGCACACACGGCATGGGTTGGAATGCTGTGCTCACAAGGTGGCAAATGAATCAATTGTATGGTAAACAAACATGGCATGTGGAGATCCGCATATTCAAATGGTGATACTCGACAAATGTATACAAATGTGGCATGTTGCGCAGTCTTTGTGAGTGGTCACGGTCAACATTGGGGTTTTGCATGACTGCATTTGTCTTTGCGAGGCGGTCGCCAGCTGTTTCAAGAGCATGACACTGAGAGGAATCGAGCAGGAGCCGTTTCAGTCAGTCAGAGCTTTTACTGGGGAAGAGTGACCACTGACCCCCCCCACAAAAAGGATGATAAGGATCAAACAAGCTTTGAAGTTAGAGAAACAACCGAAGAAAGATATCCAGAAGTTCACAGTCAGAATCTCCAAGGCATTCAGAGATCTGGGTAGAAAATGGGTAGACACATATTGCGGACTTCCAGCTGTTGCACCTTTGCAGGAGACAAAGACTTTCTGCTTTTTGGAGGGTAACTCCAGCAAGTCCGAGAGGAGCACCAGCGGCTTTTGTGTTTTTTTTGAGTTTTGGGTTTGCCATCTTGTGTGTGTGGCATCCAATAAAGACTACAATTGACAATGACAATAACAGATTGAAACCGGAAATTATGTAACATACATGGTCTTGAACGTTGCGGACTTTTGCTACATCCTTTCAACCAAATATGGATTCTCAGATGGTTCCAAATTGATGACAACTCTGACAAGCAGTAGACAGTGTTTATTGTTGTGTACATATCCTTGACTTCATTGTGTTCCTTCGCGGTGATCTATGGACATCGGAAAAGGCACCGTACTGCATTAGTATTTTTGCGGGCAATCAGACAAATCAACATATTTTTCCCTCAAGAGTAGCTGTGCGATCTTCACAAGATCATCAAGGTACATACCCTAGAGATCGCTGTAATTAGAAGATCATCATTTAGAGATCCCTTTTGAAGCTGTCGTTTCCTGCCTCGATAGGTCTCTGCGCCCCCAAACTCCGGTGCCAGTGGAGGCTCTTGATCTTTGGACACGACAAAGCTGGCAGAGACAAGGCTAAGAGCATTGCCCTGGCCAAGATCGACGAGCGTGTGAGGACATCCCGGGCTTCATGCTGGGGCATCAGCTGCAGCTGCACATGTGTAGCAAACAAGTTGGCAAACACATGGCACAAGAGACCGGTCTGATGCTTCAAAATCACTTCCTCCTCAAACAGGTTTTCATCACACTTGCGACACTTGCCTACTAGACTAGAAGTTTCCTTGGATGGAAGGCACACTCAATCTCAGGCTTGTCGCTGGCATCCCTAGTTGCACCTGCCAGGAATCAAGAAGAAGGCACTACGTCACTACTGCCTTTTAAGCGGCTTGCGAGGGTTCTGACCATGATCAGAATCACCAAATATGACTAGGGTCTCTGAAGCTTCACAAACATATTAAATGTGGAATTCCAAGTTGAGTCTGCATCAGATCACCTGACACGTATTGAAACTTTAAGTTGGAATGGTCTTCTCTGTGGGTCCATCCAATGATCCAATCCTCTGCAGACTGGGACTATGGCTGGTCAAAGAAAGGCTCTGGAGGAGAACAGGGTGTGGCTCATGGATCCATGTGAGCAGGTAATTTCCCAACACATTTAGCAGTTAGAACTGCAAAGATTCCAAGACCCAAAACGTTCAGGGTAGAGTTCCTAGATTCGACCACAGTCGTTCTACCCCCTGAGTTCGAAGATTCATGGGATGATTGAAGGGAACACCTACTGGAAACTAGTGGTTGAACCCACCCAATATGGTGGTTTCCTGCCAAGTGTCACACATGTTTCATCACGTTTCCGTAAACCAATCAACTAACGGTTTCCGCGAATAACGGTTCCACCAATATATGGGTTTAACAGTTTATCATATGAGCGACGGCTCTTATTTGCGTATATGGAAAGTAGTATTCGGGCGTACCCCGGTTTGTCAAAAACATCATATTTAGCTTGTAAAACGAGGTAGGAACACCCCGAGAACGAGGTAGGCAAAAACGTTACGGGACTGGAGAACGAGGTAGGAACACCCCGTCAATTCAAATATGGTTCACAGCTCATATGAGCTACGGCTAAAATTTAGCGTAATGGAAAGTAGTATTCGAGACATCTTTTGTTTTTGGAAATTGAGATGGGGCTTGGAAAACGATAATGCACTCTTCAAAAAACGATGACATTTGCTATAATTATTCCCAAAACCATCCAAAACCTGAAAAACGATAATACACTCTTCAAAAATTGATGGCTTGGAGCTATATACTAGATATTGACCGTGACCCATGTGAGTCATATCATGACATTGGTTTCCTCCAATACGATCAGGAGATCGGTACTATGGACAAGAGGCCTCTGAGATCAGTCCAAATCCCAGTTGCGTTTTTTTTCGTGGTGCACAGAAGGACACAAGGAGGCTTCACTGTAACATATGTACTTTAATGATCCTTAATGTGGGAAACCCCAGCACCAGGGCACAGCACATCGCTGCCGGATCAGTGATGCATTTGCCAGTATATCTTCATATTTCATATTAATTATAAATATTTATTGATATATAGTACCTGATCAAGGTAAATGAAATCTGTCTTCCACGCAATGCATGTAATGTTAGCCTCCGATTAGTGTCATGGTACCCTATTGTGAGATGTTTTCCCTTCCTAGTTGAGCGTCTTGCCGTTTGTGAGGGGGAGGCTCTATTGGGACAAGTTTTTTTTTCAGAACCTTTTTGTTTCAGGAGGGAAAAACAAAATGTTCAAGAAAAAATGATTAATTATATTAATTAACTACACTTGTTTATTTGCAGACCTGGTCCGTTTACTTTAGAAAGCCATATCCATGTTAAAGCCTTGAAAATGCAAGGTTTCCCAAATAATTGTAATTAGATGCCTTATTAAACCCTTATTAAAAAAACAGCACCAAAACAGTTTTTGAAGAGGGTACTCCATGAGTGACCCAGATCCTCAATAATTAAATTGTTTGATGGTACCCTATTGTGCACAAAAACTTTTGGGGCTTTTTTTGGGGGATTTAAAGGGAAAATCGATTGAAAGTAGGTTCAAATGAATTGAAAGTAAAATGGTTTCAATTGAAAGCCTTTCTTATCAATATTTGTTTGAAGTTCAAAAAGGAAAATCAATTGGATGTAGATTCAAATGAATTGAAAGTAAATTGGTTTCAATTGAAATCCTTTCTTATCAATAGATTCCTTTGAGGTTTAAAAGAAAAATCAATTGAAAGTAGATTGATATCAATTGAAATCCTTACTTAAGTTGACTATCCTAAAAATTGTTGAGGGGGGCGCAGAAAATGCCGAGTTATTGAGTAGACTAAAATTGTTGGGGGGGGTTACACTAATCAGAGCCCAGCATTATACTGTGTACATAAAGGCTTAGAATTATGTAAATTACGTATACAGCAAGTTAAATTCAATGCCTCTGATTCCTCTTGGCTCCATTCTTTGTGCATCACTTGCTCCGGTGGTGACCCGCGCCTTGTGTTGACTCGTCCGCAACAAGATTGTGCGCCAGCAGTCCAGCATGAATGCAGGGCTCATCTTCCGAAATATCGAGGTGGATTCAAGGTATTTTTTCAGAGTGTTTCCGTGTTCCAAGTGTCCAGTTTGGGCCATTGCACTGGAAGAGAGAGAAGAACTTAAAGCCGCAGAAACAGGCCATTAACCGATCCAACGGAAAAAATATATATAAATAATATTAAAAAAATGCACATTCATGGGCCCACTGTGGGCTCCCCTTCCTCTTCCTCCTCTTCTTTCTCTTCCTCGTCTTCCTCTTCCTCGAACAGTGATCTTGCTGGAAAGCTGTTTTTACCACAGAAAGGCGTGCACAATCTCAATCTTCATGTCGCTGATCGTGCTGATTCATGGCCACATGTGCTGCATGTAGACTGCGGACAGCAGCGTAGAGCTTCGGAGCTTCGCAGCTTTCTTGCTCCCCAAAAAGAGGAACACATGGCCCCTTTCAGTATTACCCGAACTCAGAAACCACCCAACGCCACCGCCCACTCTTTGGATGTCATATGATGTCATGGAACCAAGAAAACCCCCTGAAAACCTTCACTGAGACACGTTATTCTAATGCGCCGACAAAGGTGACACCTTTCTCCTCCGTGGGGACATCAGTGTGCATGTTGCGAGCTCAGAAATAGGGCTGGGAAGTGTCCAGTTCTGCGGCTCGGATGCGACCGGTCTGAGGGTGGCATCGGTTGTTTGATTTAAAAGTTAAAAGCATTTAAAAGCTACATTGACCTTGGTCAAGCACATGTCCTAGCAATGTGATACTATATCAGAATGGACCGATGTGTGGTTTTGCATATTTAAGTCATTTCAGATCATTTAAGTATATCTATAATATTCTATAATGATTAAAAAATATTTATATAAATATTACACTATACATTAAATACATTATATAATATTATATTATATAAATGACAGTGCGCATTTATAGTAATTACCCTTTGGGCTTGTCCAAAACCGGGGCACCCGCAAAATCACAATAAATCTCAATAAATTGCAATGAGTTGGGTGATACATATCGAATGTTTATTTAAAGGGACAGCTGACAGGTGATGATCCAGACGGGCCCCAACGGTGAAGATCCGGTGATCGAGGCTGACTCCTGTCAATAGGTTTTATTTGTATAAACATGAAGAGAAAAGAGAAACGAGAGGTGACTGAGTATACAACATATATTTACGTATAAATATATATATGTACAGTATCACTTTTAGGAAGTCTTAAGTACATGCGTTGTTTTTGTGCGGTTCTTGTTGGATCTGCATTGTGATTTTTCGGGTGGTAAACCGTCCGGTCTTTTGCGTGCAGGATGTTGAGAATGCAAGCGGCACAAAGCTGACGCCAGCCTGTTGCATGTTTGTTTTTTGTTTTTGTTTTTTTAAATCTCAGAAACACGTTTTTTTGCACGACTTGGTTTCTCTGAGTTCAGACTTGATGCTGCCTATGCTCTTTCTGTGATGAACAGACTCTCCAACTGTAGGCCCTGTAGGCTGTTGGACCTCTTGGTATCGAAAGGATGAAACATGACTCCGCTACAAGAAATGATTCATTCTGTGAGCATTCTGCCCATAGCAGTTTCAGCACCCAACAGATACATTCCCAAACAAGTACCTCGCAACAGTTTTGGATGATTCCACCATTTTGAGTTGTTGGTTTAATGATGTTTAATGTGATTTCACAATATTTCACATGGTTTAATCATGTTTAGTCATCCTCCACAGAAGGTTCAGGGTAACCTGGCCGCCAGGCTCGCCAAAGATAAGGCCATGATTCAAATCACCGGGCCCTCGGAGAAGGTGTCGCAGGTGCCGGGATGAATGGCATGAAAATTCATCGGCCTTCAATTTGTGTATTTCCGATGGGGATAGCCTATGATAGCCTGAAAAGATTGCCAACTTCCTGAAATAGGACAGGTTGAATTTCAACTGTTGAATCATTTTGATATAGTTATTTCGATGTAGGCAAACTATATTATATGGGAAAATGATGATAAACCACTCGATCTTTGGGGCACCCTATTTTCAAGCAAACCCCAAGGAACGATAATATGGTTGCCAAGACGCATCCCTTTCTCTCACCTCACGTTTGCTGTTGGATGCTGTTGGCATTTCCGAAGAAGTCCTTCATATTTGAGAGGATAAAGTCCTGCTTTGTTCATGTATTCCACCCTGATTTGGTTATCTTGGTTGAAGGGAAACATGAACCACACACCACCGTAAAGTGTCCTTTGGATCAGCTCTATGGTCAAAGTGATATGAATCAATCCATTCAATCCACAGGCCAAGAGACTTCTGCAGCAGTTCGCAGACAAGTTTGTGACCTGCCAGGGCCCTGGTATCTTCAAGTGTCATGGATTAAACAAATTTATTTATATAATATTATTTATATAAGTATGCCCGTTAAAAAACAAGGGGTTCACAAAGGGAAAGTCTAAGCTCTTTAGCCCTCCTGGAGCACTGGTTGGATGCAGTTCATGTGGGCCGATCCAGCCAAATCAAACATTTCACTTCATCCTTCAAGACCAAGTTGAGACCTGTAGATCCAGATCCGTGCCACCCACCATCCGTGGATATCCGTGGAGTTCACCCACTTCTGTGCGAAGCGGCCAGTCTGCCAAGGCAAAGTAAAGATGCAGCCGCAGTGCAAGTCCCAGCCGGATTGAAGCCAACTGGACATTGCAAGATGTTGGCCGTGGGGTGTAACGTGCCATAACGCGCCCTCAGGTTCCAACAATAGCATTCATTATGAAATATGGATATTGTCCCAATTTAATGTGTATAGCGATTTAGTGGGGAAAGTGATGACACAAAATCAGAGAATCAGAGGATTTTGGGAGACCCTATTTCTACTTAACCCATTTTGGGGTGAACGTTTTACAGACAGAAAACTGATGCACGTTCCTGTCTTCCCATTTGCATCTGCATCCATATGATTGATGATTTTCTGGTATGCGTAGCCGTAGCCTCATTCTGTGGTATGAGACGCTGCAAAAGGCTCGTGATTAAGTGAAATGGGGATACTGAATCAAATACTATAACAATACCGCCATGTCCAAATCCAAGTATCATATAGTTTTCCCCTGGTTTTCCTATCAAAGTGGCCATTTGGATTCAGTATGATTACGCAACTTTCACATTTCACAGCGGCTCAGGATCACTGCGGCCCTAGCCAACAAAGTCAGCCGGAACCTAAGTGCCGGGCAGTTTCGAAGTTGCCAAGATCATGGACATTAACGAGGAAACAGGAACCAGTAGGAAGGCAATAGATGGTAAGGAAATTCTTGGAAGTTTTACGGGGTCTCCAGATACTTGGACATATGCTTCAGTTTTTCAAGACTTTATATGGCTATGGATCAATACCTATAGATTCATTTTTAATGGGATGAACATCCATTTACCAGCTATTTTGATGTTCACCAGGGGGATAGAGTTTTGACTCATAGCCATATAAGTCGATCGCCTCAATGGGAGTTACACCTCCGATCCATTCCGAGGTCACTACATCCGGCCGATGCCATGGATTTCCACCGCAGAAGTGGATGAACAGAAGGATCTGCAAGGTCCTCAGCTGGCTACCAATTGATGGTTGAATGGCACCAAGTGGAACGATGTAGAACGTCGAAAGCCAGTTAAAACCCATTTTTCTGTTTGGAGGTGTATATATGAGCCCGGTCCCCGGACCCCCACACCCCCCCCCCAATGGTATCCCCCCCCCACTCCTAACCCCCCCCACCCCCCCAAAACCTAGTATTTGCATGTTATTTGCACATATACATACACATATACACATATATACTCCCCTTTCCACCCCTCCAACCTCGCATCTCTACGTTATTTGCAGCACTTGAGAGCCACGACCTCGTCAACGGACCTTGTCTACCTGTATATTTCTATCATAACCTTTTTTTCGAACCGCCTATAGCGTGCCTCGCACATGGTTTACAACATATTTGCTACCTATGGATTACGCAAAGCTTACCTATGCAAACCTAGACATATGTACAGTAGAAAACAATATATATATATATATATATGCACATTCTAGATACTACATATTGATATTTTGATCTTGTATCTATCACATATTTTGTTTACATTGTACATACTGTACACGTATATATATATATATACACATAAACTCTAGATATACAGCGTGTATTGCTGTCGATATTTAATATACCACATATACTATGTAAAATTTATTCAACGAACATATTTACCTATATTGTATATATTACATCTACTGTGGATACAGTACATGTGGCATATACTATCTATATTCTATCAAAATCCACATATACGATATATATACGATATATATATACGATATATATATATATATATGTATATATATATATGTGTGTGTTCAATATATATATATATTATATATGTTCAATATATGTATATGTCATATATATATATTATAAATATATATATATTGCATATATTCTATTCATATCTTACATATTATATATATGTTTATATATTAATATACACCACACATACACTCTATATTACATATAGTATATCCATTCTAATTATCGATACATATTATAAAGACTACATACACCATGATTTCTATGTATACTCACCAGTGCTGCTCACGCAGTACCTTGGACATTGCTGGCACACTCCTTGCACTGAGCTATATATTTTGCGTATAAGATGGCTGGCTGCTGAGAAAATCGGCTTGGCTACTGAGAAAACCCCCCCTCCCCTGCCACAGGGGGGGGGAACCATCTGGCTGGGGGGGGGTGGGGGTCCCTGCTCATATATATATATATGTGGCAGGGACCTTTGGGGTCTATTTCGTTCCTCCTCGCACAAACGTAATCAAACGTCATTCTATATGCATATATACTATATACACAAGTAAATATGTCTACATGTGTGTACAAGTTCAACAGAAAGTCGCAATTTTTTCCCTTGCCCCTCAACCTGCGCAGCGTCCGTTTTCTGCTCCAAGAGATGCTGTCACCAGCACGCGCGAACGCACGCCAATTTGAACTCTGGGCAGAAGAGTCCTCCAGTGTCAATTGTGTTGCTTTCCATCCCTGCAAGCTACAAAGTTTTGGAACATGCAAGTTTGGGACTCTTGTGCGCTCATGCATGGGAATGTTTTGGTTGTCAGGAGTTTGTAGTTGCAGTTGCAATCTTAGTATTAAGCATAGTTTTATAGAAAAAACCTTAAAGGAACCTCATGGGCATGTAACACAAGCAACAAAGCAATGCAAACATGTTCCACCACTTCCACCTGTAGTGATGAAGAGGGAGGGTGATGGCGGCCAACCCCCTTCATTTTGTCATACTCATCACTTCATTGTTTTTGGCCCCGCTGTCGTCCCCTCTCAGGATCCTTTGAATGAAGAAGAGTTGCAAAAGCAGACCTTGGACCTCTTGGTGAACTTTGCATACAGGCTGCAGATGGATGGCCTGATGCCTGACCTGCCAGAACAGCCACCAGGTGAGCCCAGTAGTGGATCTGGTTTTCTGCGAGAAGTGGAAGGTTCTAAAGCCAAACACCCAGGTGCACCACTACTTGAAGCTTCTATGGCAATGGCACCTGGCCCAAGTCCAGGTATCTGCGCGTCTTCACCAGCCAGTGCAACTACGGTTTTGCCAGTTCAACCTGATGTTGGTTTGTTGGCACCTGCCACTCCTGAAGTACCCCCTCTGAGGCTTCAGCAGCATGCATCCCCAAAGAACTACCTGGTCCAGTTCCAGAAGCAATGGGGGAGGTTGACCTGTACTCCTGACCAGGTGAAGAAGCTTCTTTATTGCACCAAACAAAAAGGCTCTCAAGCTTCGACTGGGCCGTCCTCTACTCAAGATGTATCTGATAGGAAACTCATACATTTTCTCAAGCATCATATGTTTCTATGGTTTTGCTTTCTGTGTGGGATTCAAGTTTCTTGATCTATGCATCTAGTATTGTTCATTCTCAGGTACCAGAGTTCGTGCCTCCTCGAGGAACTTCTAGTGGAGGTTGGTTCAGGAAAGTTTCTGGGCTAGTAGTTGCTTGGAAGCTTGGAGAAGCGCACAGGATGAGATGCCTACTATAACGATGGGAAGAGGTTTCACGGGTGAAGGCGTATGTGGCAGCTTTGGTGGGCTACGTCAAAAAGTGTGGATGGCAAAAGAACTTGGAGGGTGAGTATGGCTTGAACACTTGTACTCGCCTAAGATCTTACTGACTCCAGCAAAGCCTAGACAAAGAATGTGGACCGTCTTGGTATATGTAGATGAACTGCACCCTGGCAACCAATTGGCAGGGAATTCTAGGAATACATGGGCAATTTACTGTTCATCTGCCCAGTTTGGGGCCACGCTGTCAAATTCTGGGAGTTGGTTGACGTTGCTCGGGAAGAGGAGTGAGCAAGTCTCACAGCTGGCAGCCAGCATTGGCCATGTTTCAGGCGACCCCGGAGCACACGTTTGACAACAAATATGCTCATCCTCATTCTGAGGTACTTTTACAGGGAGGTCTTAAAAGACTGAAACTCTCTGTTGGATGTTGCAACAGACCAAGAAATCCTGTCCTCGTGGGCAAGGATGCAAGAGTGCAACAAAACCGAGTTAAGAAGGTGGAGCCAGGCTTCTGGGGTTGATTATTCCCAGCATTCACTCTTGCTGAGTGACAAGCTGAAGTCCCAGAACCTTCTGAGACCAATCACCCAATACATGCATGATTATATGCATGGGCTCTGCCCAAATGGTGTGCTGAACTAGGTATTTGTTTTTGTGGATCCAACCGCTTGCTTCCAGTGGTGTGGCTGAGATTTGGAAGGCACATGGCTTTGTGCAACTTTGGGCCCAGCCTGCCATTCACAAATGCAATTTGAAAAGGCTATTTCTGCCCAAAGCAGTGGAAGGCCACAAAAAAGCTGGGAAGTTCAGATGCATCCTCAGAGATTCTGGGTCTGTACCAGGTGCTGGCACACTATGTCCAAATTTGTTGCTTGCCTAATGGCATTTGTCTTCTGGGGTCAACTTGCTCTTTGGCTTGGTGCAAAGTTTTGGACTATCGCCTATCCATCCCTGCTTTGGAAAAGCCTGACTACAAGCAATTGCTTTCATTTGTTGAAGCAGCATTGGAGGCAACTGTTGCAGCTGACTGGTCGGAAGAATTCGAGCCAAAGATGCACTGGTCACTTCATATTATAGTCAAAGTCTCCAGAGGCATGGCCAATTACCTGCATGCTGGACCATGGAAGGGAAGCACAAAGGCACTAGAAAACATGGGAATGTCTTGTGCAACACTACCTATTGGGAAACTTCTCTGAGGAAGTCTGTCATTGCAGGGCACATCTATACATTGGGTGAAGAGTCAAGACTGTTTAGAGAAGGCACCTGCCTACAAAATGCAAAGGGGGCCCCACAAAGAAGATGACGGCATTCCTATGCAATGCTGGCGTGGTTCCTGTGGGAATGCCTTGCATGCAGAGCTCTCGTTGTAAACTTTTTTCTGGGGCAACAATTACTTCTGGTGATGTTGTCTGTTTGCACAATGTGGATGGAGGCTCACCAGCTGTCAATGCAGCTCAAGAGCATTGCTTTTTGAAAGTCCCATGTGGTGATGTGGCCCTTGTCGAAAAATATTTGTTCCAGGAAATTTCAAACAAACATCCGGGTGTTGCTTCTTTACAAGAAATCTCGTGTGCTGTCACTTACAATGCTGCCAAAGGCAGAGTGACATGCCTCACCCCTGCATTCTTGCAACTTTGAAGGGACATGCAATTTCCATCCACAGCAAATGTCTTTGGAAAACAAGCTTCGGTGGTATGCCCAACAGCCGCAACGTTTTATGTTTACTAATCTTTCTGAAGCCTGCTGCCAAGCCAAGCGCTGGAAACACTTCAGCTCGGTTTCCGTGAGTTAAATGGCCACAAATCCTGTTGAACTTGACCTGGCTCTGCACCAAAGCCTCCCAGACCTTCTCCGGAACCCCGGAGCCCTGTTGAGCCTGACCTGGCTCTGCACCAAAGCCTCCCGGAACTTTATCCGGAACCTTCACCAGAACCCTGTTGAACCTAACCTGGCTCTGCACCAAAGCCTCCCAGACCTTCTCCGGAACCCCGGAGCCCTGTTGAGCCTGACCTGGCTCTGCACCAAAGCCTCCCGGAACTTTATCCGGAACCCTGTTGAACCTACCAAAAGGCTCTGGAGGATTAAAAGGATTAAAAGGATCAAATCATTTAATCCTTTTAAACCGTTTAATCCTTTTGATCCTTTTAATCCTCCAGACCTCCCAGAATCCCAAGAAAAGCCTAGCAATTTAATTCTTTAAATCCTTTTAATCCTTTTGGACCGGGAATTCCGGACCCCCTGGAGGATTAAAAGGATTGAAAGGATTAAAAGGATTAAAAGGATTAAATCATTTAACCCTTCTAATCCTTTTAATCCCCTAAAGGGCTCTGGAGGATTAAAAGGATTAAACGGATTAAACCATTTAATCCTTTTAATCCTTTTAATCCTTTTAATCCTTTTAATCCTTTTAATCCTTTTAATCCTCCAGACCTCCCAGAATCCCAAGAAAAGCCCAGCAATTTAATTCTTTAAATCCTTTTAATCCTTTTAATCCTCCAAAAGGCTCTGGAGGATTAAAAGGATTAAATGGATTTAAATATATTCTCAAGGGTGGGCCCGGAATTCCGGCCCCCTGGCGGCTTAAAAGGATTAAAAGGATTAAATCATTTAATCCTTTTAATCCTTTTAATCCTCCAAAAGGCTCTGGAGGATTAAAAGGATTAAAAGGATTAAATCATTTAATCCTTTTAATCCTTTTAATCCCCCAAAAGGCTCTGGAGGATTAAAAGGATTAAATGGATTTATCCTTTTAATCCTTTTAATCCTTTTAATCCTCCAGACCTCCCAGAATCCCAAGAAAAAAGCCAGGCAATTTAAGTCTTTAAATCATTTTAATCATTTTAATCCCAAAAGGCCTGGAGGATTAAAAATGATTAAATGGATTTAAATATATTCTCAAGGGCTTGGGGCCGGGCATCCGGGACCCCCTGGAGGATTTAAAAGGATTAAAAGATAAAAGGATTAAAGCATTGAATCCTTTAATCCTTTTAATCCCCCAAGGACTTCTTTCGGAGGATTTTTTAAAAGGATGAAAAGGATAAATATTTAATCCTTTAATCCTTTTAATTCCTCCAAAAGGGGCTTTGGAGGATTAAAAGGATTAAAAGGATTAAATCATTTAATCCTTTTAATCCTTTTAATCATCCAAAAGGCTCTGGAGGATTAAAAGGATTAAAAGGATTAAATGATTTAATCCTTTTAATCCTTTTAATCCTTTTAATCCTCCAGACCTCCCAGAATCCCAGGAAAAGCCCAGCAATTTAATTCTTTAAATCCTTTTAATCCTTTTAATCCTCCAAAAGGCTCTGGAGGATTAAAAGGATTAAATGGATTTAAATATATTTCTCAAGGGCTTGGGCCGGGAATTCCGGACCCCCTGAAGGATTAAAAGGATTAAAAGGATTAAAAGGATTAAATCATTTAATCCTTTTAATCCTTTTAATCCCCCAAAGGACTCTGGAGGATTAAAAGGATTAAAAGGATTAAAAGGATTAAATCATTTAATCCTTTTAATCCTTTTAATCCTCCAAGGCCTCTGGAGGACTAAAAGGATTAAAAGGATTAAATGCTTGGTCCTCACATTGGGGTTCTGGGGGCTCTGGAGGATTAAAAGGATTAAAAGGATTAAAGGGATTAAAAGGATTAAATGATTTAATCCTTTTAATCCTTTTAATCCTTTTAATCCTTTAACCTCCAGACCTTCCCAGAACACAAGAAAAAGCCAGCAATTAATTCTTTAAATTCTTTTAAATCCTTTAATCCTCCAAAAAGGCTCTGGAGGATTATAAAAGGTAACTGGATTTAAATATCTTTCTCAAGGGCTTGGGAAGGGAATTCGGACCCCCTGAAGGATTAAAAGGATAAAGGTTAAAGGGATTAAAAGGATTAAATCATTTAATCCTTTTAATCCTTTTAATCCTCCAAAAGGCTCTGGAGGATTAAAAGGATTAAATCATTTAATCCTTTTAATCCTTTTAATCCCCCAAAAGGCTCTGGAGGATTAAAAGGATTAAATGGATTTAAATATATTTCTCAAGGGCTTGGGCCGGGAATTCCGGACCCCTGGAGGATTAAAGGATTAGGATTAAAAGGATTAAAAGGATTAAATCATTTAAAAGGATTAAAAGGATTAAATCATTTAATCCTTTTAATCCTTTTAATCCTCCAAAAGGCTCTGGAGGATTAAAAGGATTAAAAGGATTAAATCATCTAATCCTTTTAATCCTTTTAATCCCCCAAAAGGCTCTGGAGGATTAAAAGGATTAAAAGGATTAAATCATTTAGTCCTTTTAATCCTTTTAATCCCCCAAAAGGCTCTGGAGGATTAAAAGGATTAAAAGGATTAAATCATTTAATTCTTCAAATCCTCTCAATTATCCAAAAGGCTCTAAAAATTATCAGAATTAACCGGAACAAAATGGTACCTAAAGGTCTCTCGATCATATATATATATACATACATTATATATATATAATTTATCCCAATGTTCAGGGCCCAGGCCAGGCGCCATGCGGATCCTATAGCTCCCAGGTTGAAGATTCAAGGTCACCAAGACAGCGTGGATCAAACGTTCAAGGCACAGAACTCCTCTGGACCTGAGAGAAACACGTTGCCCAAAGGATTGACAGATTGGGAACCAATTCCTGCGGGGGTGTTCCAGACATGGGGGATACCATGTTTTGATGGGGAAAATTATGATATCCCCTTGAATTTTGGGGAAGCTTATTTTCAGACAAAGCCATATGTGTCCATGGTGTGGTCAGGTGATCAATGAGCTCTACCGAGATCACGGTTTGGAAATAGACCAAGCTGACTCTTGGGCTTCATGTGTAGTGCTAGGAACCAGGAGGATGCCGAACTGGTTGGTGGTTACAGATTATAGATATTATAGGAACCCCGAGAAAGATGGAAAAGGAATTCATCACTTTGGTAGGAATTCACTTTTCTATTGTTTATTGAGAGTAACTGTATACGACCTTGAATTTTCAACTAGATGTGGGATGACGATCCACTATTACTAGTGTATTGGAGATGGGTTGAATCCAGCATCAATCAGAATAAAGTAAGCTGGAGTTAGAGTAAGAGAATGTCAGAGGATCATGGAGGTAAAGTCGAGGGGAACCAGCTGGAATGGATGCATTCATGCCAGGGTCTTTGTCTTTGTGGGTCTCCTTGTACATTGTCATAGCTCGTTGAAGGCTTGAAATTCTTTGTCCGGATGGTCTTCAGGTACTAGTAGGGCAAATCGGGAAGAATCTTTACATACAGGCTTGTATTATTTGGGAAAGTGTTTTCTTTGCGATTAGCTACAATTGAAGAGCGTTGCACCAATTTGAAATCGAGGACTATTTTTTTTCTCATGGGAATGAAAGCCCCAAACTTGGACATCACATGATGGGCTTCCCTGGGAATTCATGTTTTCATATATTGATGGATATTAGCATTCTTCCATATTCTTCCTAGATTTTTTTAGAGGCACAAAAAACCACGAGATAAACACCCACAAAGGTGTACGGTTTTTGATCTGAAGATCGATTCGGCGCTGAGGAAGTGGACTTAATAGGCAGGTGTAAGTCTTATCTCTGCTATCTTTCAAAGACTTTAGAACTTTGTGTTCAAGGTTGGACCTTTATGTTTATGCCCCACAGCTCCGCGAAACATTGTCTTCAAGCAGGATCCTTTCGTATATGTTACTGTTACTAAGAATTTTGGTTGGCCAAACCATTCGGAGGCACTCCATTCATCCGAATTCATCCATCATCCGTCATCCATCAATCAGTTGCCAACTGTGAACCCTTTAAAGATCTTTAAAATCATTTAAAATCCCTTAAATGACCATGAAATAATATGAAATAATGGGGATCATGATCATAATCCATTTGAATTGGGGATCCATTTTAAGAGACCCCAATTTGATGAACCACCAGTCTCCAAGGATGTCAGCATCAAGCGTCGAGAAGAACAACCTGTCCATGGAGGTTGGCTTGGCTCCTGACAAAACATCCCACGGAGTGCTCAGTATTCAGGCAAACTCATGGAACATCTACAGGAAACCCAGGTTTTTTTTTCATGAACATCATGGAAATGAGATGAAATGAAAGCTTCCAATTTTTGTTCAACTTGATGGATCTTGATGACAACACTCCATGATGTCCGAAGGCCGAAGCTACTTCGCCGCCGGCCGGGCGTGCGATGTGCTGAAAGTCAGCGAGGCCATGGGGACCCCAATGGGGACCGTCCCAAATCAGCAAGCTGGATATCAAGGCTGCTGGCTTCAGGACAGGTTCATTGCATTGAGAAGATGTAGTTAGTTAATGTTAGTTAAAAGCTCCTTGCCAGAGATTTTCACGGATCCAAGACACAAGTCATCATTGAAGTAATCGGTATATGATGTTTTTGGTAGGGGATCAACATGGATCAACCCATTTAGACTGTTGGATGTTGTTGATCATTAGGCTCGTGGAAATCCATGTCATGTTGTTTGAGACTGGAGATCCGGAACCAAGCCATACAATATTGAAATATGTCGCAAAAAATGAGAGCCCATGAGAGCCCTGAATCCATTGGAAAATCACCATGTCCACTCTGAGAATGGGCATGTTCAACATTGTTCAACCATCTTCAGTCCAAAATCCCATTGTTGATATTGTTGATCCTCAATTTCGCACCTTAAATTCGATGATTTCATGGCCGGAGCCAGGATGATGCGGCCTTCATCCTTGGCCGTGGTGGCAAGACCAAGCACAAGATCGCTCGCGTAGGGTGGCCGAGCCAAGGGTATGGTAGATGATAACTCCAATATTTTGAATAGGTATTGCATGTTATTGCTAGTTCTTCCTAAGCGATTGGTTTTCAAGTTGTTGAATTGTTATTGCTAGTTACTTGTATTGCTGATTGTTTATTCGGGAAACCAATGGTATACCGTATACCGGTATACCGTATACTCCAAGTTTGAAAAGCATATTTGTAGATGGTCATAAGATCCTCTAGCCAGTGTCCAGCATACAACTAGCATATGCTAGCATCAATTAGCAAACCTAGGTGCTTACGTTACAAAAACATTAAACAGTTAGTAGGCGGAATAAGTGGTTTTGGGTGTCTTTTTGCAGTTGTTTTGATGTGTAGCAATATCATAAGCAGAGAATCATATGGAATTATATTGTACTTAGTTGAGCTGTGATATTGATTGATATGGTAGGTTTTTTTTTGACTTCATCCCATCATGGTGTGGTAGGTGTGGTAGTTTCTACCACTGGTTGTGGATCAAGGTCTCAGGAGCCCAACTTGAGCTGCACGAGCGCAACAGCACGGTTGAAATCTACGGTGCGCCGGGTGTCAGGATGGCTGCAAGGGGCGGCTTCACGGCTTGGATGGTGAAGATGGTGAAGATGGGTAGAATCTGTAGATGTTCCACAAAGATTCCGTAGTATGCAATTAATTCGTTGATTTTGAGGAGCCGTTTCAGAGGGCCACTTTGATTTGGGTCGAAATTTAAGACCTCCAGGCTTCCAGGATCAGAATCAGACATAAATGACATAATAATGACATAATAATATGATATAATGAGTATGAACTATGCACCATCCATGTTTTGGGGTGCACAAAGTTTTGACCCACACCAACTGGCCGTGTGCAAACTCGGAGGTGATGATGAGAGTCGTCGCAGAGCTCGCAAATACATCGACTTGGTGCGAGCACAACGTGTTGGTCCTGTCCACGTGGATGAAAGTTCCAACGATGGGGACTGGGTTCAACTTTGGTTGGCTGGTTGGGGTGTGGCAACTTTGAAGTCAACCCATCTAGCAATCAAAAGGAAGATAGTAGCTAACAGCCATCAATAGCCATCAGAAGCCATCAGCAGCTATCAGCAGCCATCAACAGCCAGCCTGACAAGGAATGTGTTTGAAACGCATAGATGTGGGGAGAACATCCGAGTCAGGCTGGTTAACCCTCGAAATTCTGATGCAGACCATTCAGTGCTTGGTTTCACCATAACCGAGATATACCGAGATAATGTGAGGTATTTGTGCTGTGGCACCCTTAGCAGTCTCGGGATGGGTGCCTCAAATATCAACCAGTCAATGATCCTTATTCCCCACAATTGTCCCATTCCATTGATATTCACTAGATTCCATTTTGTGAGCAATAGATATATGTATACTGTGGTAAACCCAATAATAAACCATCCCCAAAATTCCCATAAGTGGGTGGTATAAATCATCCCAACTGGTAGGTTTATTACTAGTATGGGGTTTCCCACATTATGTATCATTATGTATGAATGATAGATTTGTAACTGTATGTTATACCATCAGTGATGGATGTTCACCCTACCATTTTAGTTAGATTGTAGCATGGCTTAGCTTGATGTTCAACTGGTGAGGACATGACTCTGATCTCCGTGCCCAGCAGCTGTGTGGGTGTGGCATCTCAGACCCCACGTCATTGTTACAACATTAATTGCTGCATGTGTTATATACCAGGCCAAAATCAGTCTGTAGTCCCAATAGTCCCAGAGTCTCGAACTTTGTGGATTGGATATGATTGGAATATCACTTTTTTAAGCGCGATCCCAGTTCATGGCATGAAGTATTCGGACGGCTCGCGGCTACTGCGGCTAACCTGTGGTTTGTGGATGCACCGAAGGGCATCCTCCAGCACTAAAGCACTACATTAATGTTTGGTAGATTCTACAAGCCCCATCCAGACCTCGGACCTGGTTCTGTTCGGAAAATTGTCCCATCTCCCAACTGTTCACACCTGACTTCAGTTCGATGACGTTAGCTGGGTTCAACATGGTTCAACCATTCTAAGATCCATTGCTTGATCATCATTTTACCATATTCAACCAGGGGACATTTTTTTAAATCAGAGGTTCAGTACTTTTACCATTTTCTTCATAGGTTTTTCACTGATTTCATCCATTAGAAATGCCATTGTCTGGCTCAAGCAGCAGATCCGATAAGGCCCCAGAATGGCTGAGGTTTTGTGACTGGAAGCCAGGGCAATTTCCTGCGCACCTGCGAGGAGGAGCTTTTCTGTTGATGGTTTTGATATTATGTTTTTTTTTAAAAAAAAAACAATTTTATACCAGGTTAAAACTACGTATATATATATATATTGATAAACTATAGATGTTTGTTTATTGTTGTGCCACATTTTTAAAAACATAGTTTCTAAGGTTCTTGCGTTGTTCTTCCCCGATGTTGCATATGATGTTTGATAGCTTTGACTTTAAAGTCTCAACTTCAATCCAATTGATGAGGCCAGGCTCACCTGCGATCGTGGCACATCCGAAACGCCAGGAGTGGGGAACTCTGATGTTCTTCTGCGACTATCAAGGAGGTGGGCCGGTCCACGTGCCAGACATTTGCCTATTTGTTTGGGGTTCAAACATGCTGTGAAAGTTTGATTGGATATTGATATAGCTTATAGTGATTGATTCCCTCTTGATATTGATTCATAGACTCATAGAGGAAATGTATGGACATCTAATGAGATCTATATCCTGACAAGCCAGTTTTATCAAAGGAGTTCACTGGCGTGTCCTGCTTTAGGTGGCCCCTTGGACAGCTACGGCGGATCTGTGTCTCGCTTCACCTTGGCTCCGTAAGAGACGGTGTAAAGTTGGAGATGGGATGAGATGGGCAAGTTCTTGTGTGCTGTACCAAGCAAAAAGGATTGTGGTCAAGAACATTCAGGGCGGCGTGGATGTTGTTTCTTGCTGTTTGGGGTACCATCTGATTCGGGGTAATTACCTTTCTTTTTTGGGACAAACCCAGGTTTTAACCCCCGTTTTTTCGGTTTTTGTTTGGCCTTGTTTGAAGCTGAGGAGAAACTCGCCATTTTTGGAACCTTGTGGGCTCGTTGTGGTGCTGAACTTAAGGCGCTCACCTCAAGAATGACCTAGCTGACCCCATCATACTAATATGATCCCAATCATACGAATCCCCCCAAGTATGAGTAATTAAGAATAGTACCATGATATTGTATAATATAAAGGGCTGCAGCCCCCTGCCGCCGACAATCCGGAGGAGCCACATTCCTTTTCGAAAGAAATGAAAGAAGCCAAGGCATCCCCAAGTGGATTTCCACTACTAATTGCACCCGATAGCCGTTTGGCCAATCCATGTCCATCAGGATGAATCACGTCAATCCAGATAGTAGATGATAATCCATTCAGGAGTGATGCAACGGTGATAACATTGATTTTGTCAGTTGCCTATATATGTGTTTCATGTTGTTTTTCTCTACTAAATCTACCCCCTGTATTTCTCTACTAAATGGTTTTGGGGTTTTGGTCGGGTCATGTTGGGCCTCCAACGAGTCATGTTGTTGTCTTAAGGCACTTCGAAAATATATCCAAATTCTGCACTTCAGCTGAACCAGGGGCCCACATTCAGTAGTGAAATTCGATCATGCATGCACATCCATTTAGTAGAGCTTGAGGCTATGCCATGCAAACCGTTTCTTCACTACAAAATGGTAGCACAACCCCATCCTTCAATTCACAGGAGGATGCCAAGGCGGTGGTGCCATTGAAGCGCCGCAGACCAGAAGGTGAGGTTCAGTTGGAAAGCGGAAGAGTTGATTCGCAGCATGAAGCTGCAGAAGCCAGCGAAGTGCTTCAGAATATGGATGATCTCGATCTCGACCCGATCATCATGGCCATGCGATATGTGGGGGTTCCAGAGGAGATGTGGGTTCAGGACCCTCCCGCAACATGGCTGATGATAATACAGCGGTGTTTTTTGCGGGCGTCCAGAATACACCACCCTGACAGACCGACGGGTAGCAACCAAGCACAGCACCTGTTGACTGAAAGAGTGGGCTTGCTGAGAGAAAAGGCTCGTCAATGGATTGAGGTGCACGAGAAACTCGGTAGTTTTCCGTCACCACATGGCATGCAGTTCCGCTGCCACTGCCAGAGCTGCTTGACACTGCAGCTGAAAAGGCTCGAGTGCAAGTTCTGCCTTGAAGTTGACAAGAAAGGAGGCCACTCCTGCGGCTTGGGACGCTACAGTTCAACCAATATGCGGTTTGATCCCAGTACAATGGGTATGTACTTGGAGCTGGTGGCTCATGGTGTGCAGGAGCAAATGGAAGATCGGGAGCATGCTGCCCGCCTCGAAGTGAAGTCGCTTCAAGCCATAGAGGCTGTTGAGCACAGTCAGTCAGAAAGAAGTGGGAGGCAGAGAAAAGAAAGGAAGAAAAACGTCAGATGGGAATTGCATGGGCTCAGTCCTTGAGCAGAGGCTGGCACAATTGCTCCACCAGCTCCCAGTGCTGCCAGAGGGAAATTTAGTGAGGAGATCCTTACAGTTGATGCACCCCACTCAGGACCTCTCCCACCTGAGCCAGTGACTGAAGCAGAGTTGCAGTCGCAACCTTTGAGAGCATGCCCAGCATGCAAGTTCCAGAGCTGCAAATGGCAGAGGTCTTCTGCCTTCTGCCATTTGCAGCTCTGGAACTTGCATGCTGGGCATGCTCTCAAAGGTTGCGACTGCAACTCTGCTAGGTGCCGGAACGGTACCATGTGGTATAGGTGTTGCAGGTTTCCGGATTGTAAGTGGGGAAAGGTTTCCGAAAAAGCGTTTGGATCCTAAAAATGCCAGGACTCTAGTAGTGGACATCCAACATCTCAACGAATACCAAAATCGGACACCGTCGGGCACCCAAAGAGTAAACAAAACAAATGTATACAAATGTGGCATGCCGGGAACTTGTGGCAGCTTGCCTGGCGCGAAGACGCAACGTGGCAGGGATTGTTTGCATGAAAAAGGAGTGACAGATCGATTAGCGATGCTTGATTATATAAACCTTTTATTGTGTACACATTGAATTATTTAAAACATCTGAGCCTAAATATGCTCCAAACACAGGCGGGAACCACGCGCTTGAAAAGGGCGTGACAGATCGATTAGCGATGCTTGATTTAAGCGCTTACGCGCGACAGCCGGCCACGGGCCCATGTTGAGGTGATAGGGGTCGAGCAGGGAGCAAGAGCTCAAGGCTATGTTGCCCCATCGGGAGGCTATGTAGGTCCAGCTTGGGGCTATCGGGGGGTAGCTTGGGACTAGGTGGGCGGCGGTTGCAGGGGTCTTTGGGGCGGCATGGGTTGCGGCTGGCGTTGTAGTGATTGCTGTGGAGGTCGTCGTCCTCGTCGTCGTCGTCGTCGTGGTGGTGGTGGTGGTGGTCGTCGTCGTCGTGGTCGTGGTCGTGGTCGTGGTTGTGGTCGTGGTCGTCGTGGTCGTCGTGGTCGTCGTGGTCGTCGTGGTCGTCGTGGTCGTCGTGTTCGTCGTCGTCGTCGTCGTCGTCGGTGTTGTTGTTGTTGTTGTTGTTGTCGTTGTCGTCGTCGTCGCTGTTGGGAGAGGGAAAAAACAAATAGGATAAAAAAAACAAATAAGGATCAAAAAAAACAAATAGGGATCAAAACAAAAACAAAATCCAGAAAATAGAATGGGCTAGCGCCCTGGTGCCGCCGACCCCCCTATTTGGGGGGTCCTGTAGAGAGAGGGGGAGAGAGAGAGAGAGAGAGCGAGAGAGAGAGAGAGAGAGAGAGGGAGAAAGAAAGAAAGAAAGAAAGAAAGAAAGATAGATAGATAGATCAATACATAGAGAGATAGATAGATACAGAGAGAGAGAGATAGATAGATAGATAGATGGATAGCTAGCTAGCTAGCTAGCTAGATAGATAGATAGATAGATAGATAGATGGCTAGATAGATAGATAGATGGATAGATAGATAGATAGATAGATCGATAGATAGATGTGACCTTGGGGTGCCTGTTGGCTGCGAACGCCTGGCGGTTGGGCGTCCCATACGCTTTTGCAGAGTTTTAACGGTTTTAAGCGTTTTAGGCGTTTTAGGCGTTTTAGGGGTTTTAAGCGTTTAGGGGCTGGCAAACGGCAGGCTTGGACGCCCATAAGAAGCCATTGATGTGGCCTTGGGGTGCCTGTTGGCTGCGAACGCCTGGCGGTTGGGCGTCCCATACGCTTTGGCAGAGTTTTAACGGTTTTAAGCGTTTTAGGCGTTTTAGGCGTTTTATTAGGGGTTTTAAGGGTTTAGGGGCTGGCAAACGGCAGGCTTGGATGCCCATAAGAAGCCATATTGATGTGGCCTTGGGGTCCCTGTTGGCTGCGAAAGGTTTTAAGCGTTTTAGGCGTTTTAGGCGATTTAGGGGTTTTAAGCGTTTAGGGGCTGGCAAACGGCAGGCTTGGATGCCCATAAGAAGCCATATTGATGTGGCCTTGGGGTGCCTGTTGGCTGCGAACGCCTGGCGGTTGGGCGTCCCATACGCCTTGGCAGAGTTTTAACGGTTTTAAGCGTTTTAGGGGTTTTAGGAGTTTTAGGGGTTTTAGGGGTTTTAAGGCTATAGGGGCTGGCAAACGGCAGGCTTGGACGCCCATAAGAAGCTTAAGAAGCCATTGATGTGGCCTTGGGGTGCCTGTTGGTGTGGGCCGCGTTGAAAAGAAGCGATGGATCTGGCCTTGGGGTAGCTTGTGCCTGCGCGGTTGGGCGTCCCATACTTGTGCCTGCGCGGTTAGGCGTTCCGAAACGCTTTTGCAAGTTTTAACGGTTTGATGTGGCCTTGGGATGCCTGTTGCTAAGAAAGGCAAGTTCCACACCTGCGGTGGTCCCAGGCGCCGCCCCTGCCTTGGCTAAGGCCGGGGTCGGCGGATATAGTAGTATAAAATGATATGTAATAATATAATATGTATAGGTCTGTAGAATTATAGAAATCAACATAATTCAACCATACTAATATGAATATTCATCATGATATTTGTTCACTTCCGCTTTTTGTCCAGGTCATGGCGGCCATCGAAACGAAGCTCCCGGGCTACTACACCAGTAATCTGGGGGAGACCCAGTCCTGGGATGAGCCCTGAGACCCAGCATCCAAAAGAATTCAAACAGCAGACATCAAAAGATATCAAAAGATATCAAAAGACCGGAATGGGAAATGTTGAGATCTGGGAAAGATTCAGTCTGAGGTGGGGTACTGATACATATCCGATGCACAACGACCAGCTGTCCTATGTCTTGGGACGAAAGGGCTCCACAAGACAGAAGCTGGCACGAGCTAGCGGAACCTTGGATGAACATGAACATTGGGGAGTGGCCGTTGTCCTCGATGAATGCTTTCTGTCAATTTACAATTTGACGCCTGTAGTCTTGCTCGAACGTTTGCAGATGTTTGCATCGTATTTGTTGATTGGACATGGGGAAATAACTGCACAATCCATCATAATACTCTTAATATCTCTTAATACTGAATTGATGGTAACCCATGGTTGCTGTGTTCTTTTGTTTTGATTGGTTGTTGCGTTTAATTGCGTTCATCCCAACCAAACATGACGGTCCCCATGACCCAAAACGACCAACCAGATTGCACTTGTGCATGTTTCACCCGATTCCTCGGAAATCGACAACTCTCCTTCGGTCCATTCCACTGGAAGTCTATAGCATGTCTACATCATGACCAGATTGCTTTTATTCGGACACCTGAACCATGGCTCAGATAGGTTCTTACTGGGACATCCACAGAATTCCATAGAAATCAGCACTTTCCACGATCGTCCTTTGGATGGTTCTGTTGCAGCCACACATTTGCATTCCATTGCACCATCCTCAGGGTCCAACAAGCCCGCAGATTCATGCAGATTCACTGACATTGGTGATGAGGTTGCATCATGGAATATGTGGGGAATATCGCTTTCATGGCCGCATCCACAGCAGACCTGGCTGGGCTTTTGATATTTTGGTGAAGGTTTCACCCACGAATCAAAGACACTTCATGACAATCACAACATATTACAACCAGTAAGGAAACAAATGAACATCATGGACATACATGGACTATCATGTGATTAATGTACAGTCATATGATATAGTTTCTGTATGTTTCAGTGGAGATTATATTTCTATAGATCCTCTTGTCAGACCATAGGTTTGTTGCCCTTTTTGTTGCCGTTGATGCGACACACTCAGGCGGGTTACCTGCCAAATCGTCGCCGAGGACGAGAATACCTCGGTCGTCAGCTTACTGTGAATAATGACGTGGTAACCTCCAAATGAGCCAACCTTATATATACACATGTTTACATAGTTATACAAGTTATATCATATAAGCATATGAAACCAGACCTTTTAGATTGTAGATCACTTATATGTATACATATATATAGTCATGTCTATACCACCCATTTCTGTCAACAGCTGAGATGGTGTTGGGTTTACCACATTACAATTGAAATATCACTCAGGAGTATGTAGATGTGCAGGGCAAAAACTATTGTGGCACGCCGCCGACTGAGGTTGGCTTTGCGACCAGGTCGGCAACAAGCAAGGCAGAATCATTTCAGCTGCCTACCTGGGGCTTGAGAGTCACAGCTAGGGGGGCCTAATGAGTTTTTTTCCCCCTGATGTCTTTGGTGCAACTTGACAGAATTCTCCTTGTTGTCCTGACAAAAATTATCTTGCTCTCGTCGCGGAATGTGTCTTTTCGCGAAGGTCCGGAACGTCACCCCATTTGTCGCTAAAACCACTGGACACGATGGCCAGGGCGCATCTCCATTGACCCCACCGCGCGGGAAGATGTCACACTGGTGCCGGTGCCCAGAGAGTGCATCGGCTACGTCATGGGAGATAAGTCCGGATCCTCAGACTTCATTGGCTTTGGATGGGATCACTGGATATCACTGGGACGTCCCGTATTTCGGAAGTTTGCAACTTTCATTTCACGGAGAGATGGCCAGACTATGCCAGACCTACAAGTGTCACTGGTCTCATGTTTCTGGCCTAATTATCGATGAAAGTCCTTTTTGTTTGCAGGTTCATACCTTGTGCTTCGGCATCAAATCTTACGCATATGAATTTGGGATGCCATGGTGATGATGGTGGTGGTGATGATGATGATCATCATCATGATATGTGATTTACATTGATTTACACTTTACACATATTTACATGATCCTTTTCAGAAGAGCTGTCTCATCACTGGCGCCCCCAGGCGGAAGACGCTGAGTCGGCTGGAAGAGGAACTGCCCGGGGCATTGCTTAGGATTAGCAACCCCCAAACAGATAGAACAGTAATGAATGAAAAGAAACTGATTTTGCTTTAGTAGGATTACTTGATATATCTTGATATTACTTGTTTAATCCGTTTGGGTTGCTATATTATTGCAGAATCCATCAGAAAATGATCCCAAGATGAATCCGCTCACAGGACTGGGAGACACTCATCTTCTTCGTGGACAGTCGAGCGCTGCCGTACAGCTACCGCGAGGACGGCTTGTGAACAATCCCTGGCGATCCTTTTTAAGGCTTCCATAGCTACTTCCAAAGAAGATCATGCGGTATCCAAGGAGATCAGTGCATGTAACTTCCATGCGGACTACTCAAAAAATCAGATGATTTGATGTAATTAAATGTAATTAATGGTTCTACATATTTCTACCAATAGTTGTCCTTGAATTCTCGGATGGTCGCCATGTGGGCCCCAGGAGGATGTTGAAGGTCTTGCGATCTTCGGCGCAGAGTGGGGTCGTGCTGGAACTGAGCTCAAGGCGGATGGTGGGTGATGTTTAGCAAGTTTAGCCATCGACGGGGAGGTCATCAAGAAAATTGGGGTCAGACTTGGGAAGATGAGACTGAATCTTAGATAATCTTGGTTGTTTCATGGTGTTTCAAATATCTTTGTATTCCAGGTACATGTTAATGTTATTTTAATGATGCTCCCCAATGCATAAAACAACCAGTGAATGGATCGTCACGAGATGGTGGCATTGACCGGTCACAGTCTAACCTGGCAATCGATCACCAGAGGGTTGCGGGAACATCGTTCTTCTGTCGTGTCCAATTCCTTGGGTTAATCGACTGCGGTTCCATGTTGTTTAGTGTTGAAGTCTACTCGTGCAGAGAAGACCCTGTTCGGGTAGGTTTGTGATCAATTTGTCTTTTTCCTATTTCTGGAAGCGTGCTGAGCTAGTCGCTTACTTGTGTATCTTGTGTTGGCATACATGCATATTCCATCATATTCCACTAAAACTATCTAACACGTCTAACACTTCAACAGGTTCCTAAGGTTATGTGAGATTAAACCAGGTTAGCCGCTTAGCATCGGGTCGCCATGGTTATTATTGGAGGAAACCTGGCCGATGTCTCCAGGTGATGGGTGCTGTGGAGACAAAGATCCCACAGTTCGGCGCCAAGGGATGCGTTCCACGGGATGCGTTCCACGGGGATCGTCTCAAATTTTGGAAACCCCAAATGTCCATTCTGCGGTTTATCATGGTTGAATGATGTTTAATGATGTTTAATGATGTTTAATGTTCCCAACTTGGCAATTTGTTGTATGCATTGAACTGTTTTTTTTTCATGTTCCCCCGCGTTGAAATGGATGCTCGTACCCGAACCAGAGGGGCCGTGAGCACGACTGAGGTTCTTCACGGAGAGGGCCTGGGACCTGAAAGTCATTTAGTACAGCTCTGGGATGTGTTGTTTGGAATGTTTGAATCTAAAAGTAGGATATGATTATGATATGCATAGCATATAGATATATAATGTGTACATATACAATCATATACACATAATTATACGTATATATAGTATATAATACGTATATATAATCACTATAGATAAATAGCTTCGCGAGCACCCTGTGCTCTATCGGAACCCATATGTTTGGATGGCGTAGATGGCTCGACAAGTTTAGGCTTCCACACTTGATGCTTGGACGAGCCATTGCAAGTTTCCAAAAGGCGAGCTCAAAGCTGAAGCCGGTTGAGGTTGGTGACTACCACTACGATGGCCCTTGGGGTGTAGCTCAGATGCACCCAAGCAGGTCAAGGTTTGCAGTTGTTTGTGGTTGGCCATTTTTGGTACACAATTTCTTCACAAGTTCTTGGATTTTCTCACACATTTTGTCTAGAGTCCAAAACATTTCAAATTGGCGCTGCATCATTTGAGATAAGACCAGAAAGGTTCATGCACAACTGTCCACTTGCGCAAACAATGGAAATTCAGATGGATTTGTTGGATAAGAAGGTAACCCAAAACCCAATGGTTTATCACTATTTCCCCATGAAAGGAGGGGGTATACAACATTTTCAGACACAACCATATTATATTGTTAACTACAAAAGGCGATAACATGCGAGAACTCCAAGGTGGATACCCTGCCTTTGCCTGGCGACGAGCTCTCCTTTGCCCTTGGCAAGGACAGAACCAGAACGGGATGAAGTGATCAGAAGGGGCCTGGTAAGCTGGAAAGCAGATCTTGCTTCGGGAGTTCCTCTCATAGAGGTGTCAGACTTTGAAATGACCTGACATTTAATGGGCGTATCGCCCAACAAAACATTGTCTCACTTGCTCTATTTCTTGGGTTCCATTTTCAGGTCTCACGAAACTATTTGGAAAGGCTCCTCAGTTGAACAGGACGGCGCTACGCGAAGAAAACTGGTCCGGCTGGCACAGTTTGCGGATGGACATCGAAACTGTTCCTGCTGTGGAGTGAAATACCATCAAATGTCCTTCTCCAGGCAAAAGCCAGTGGATGCATACTGGAATATGCAGGAACACCAAGGGGGGACAGGTGGGAAGCCAATTGAGATAAACTGAGATACAGCACTGCAAAGATACTTTCCTTCTGTTTGACACAATTGTGAGTTGATTCATGTTTTCATTTTTTCTACACTGCTCACTGCACCATTCTGGTTTTCTACCGTTTGTTACCGGGTGCTACGGGCCATCGAAATCATCCACGACCCCATTCACTTGGGAGAAAAAAACACCAGGGTTGTGGTGGTCTGGATTCGTGTTTGGGGTCACGGCCCAAGGGTATCGGATGTTAGTTACTTGACATGTATTCAATGAGGCCGCGGCAGTTGTGAAGAAGAGCTTGTGGCACTTATGTAAAAGTCAATGGCGAGGGGAAAATTTGTTGACAACATGTTCGGATGAGTTGCCAATTAAAGATGTTGCAAGTTTGGCCGTGGGCAAGAGTACGACAGCACTTATGTTCAGAGTTCTTTTATGTTCTTTTCATGCCATATTTGTTCTACAGTTGATGCTTGTTCTTTAGGCTTTGGTTGATCTTTGGTTGATATGTGTCACTATTTGTCATTGTTCATCATGTTCATCCCCCAACAATGGGATGACAAGGGGATGGCCAAGTGACCAAGCCAACTGAGGTGGGCAACGTGGCGTACATGGCGGGGACCCTGGAGGAGCGCAAACGAGCCAGGCGAGGCATGAATTGGCATGGACTGCATATTCTAGCAGAAAACAAGATATTGATGTCTATAATATCTATAATTAACTTAATTAATATTAATTATGATCATACAATATCATACATATATATATATATATAATCTATTTTATAGATTTTTAGAGACAATTCAAGCGTATGCAGCACTCTTAGAGTATGCAGCATATGGCATCGATGGGTTTTTGTTCATCACCGGGTGCATCGCCAGGGACTATTTGACCTGGTTGACCTGGCAGCGCACGGGTCCCATTACCATCGAAACGGCGGGCCGCGAGGACATCCGGGAGATGGAGGCTGGCTGGGAGATGGTTGGGAGATGGCTGGGAAATGGTTGATTTGTTGAAGGATGAAACATGTAGAAACCAATATGAAACCATAATATGAAACCTCTGGTAATTTGTTGGTGAATCTTCATCGAAGAGGGCCCACAGTTGATCTTACCTATTAAAGATGGGACATGTTCATATATGTTCATAGCTATATGTTAGTTTACCAGAGGGTACGTCATGAGGACATTGTTACCAGGAAAATATGTGTTGAACAACGTTGAAGAATATGATCAATATCATATTATGAATCATATTAGATCCGTTCAATTAATATAGATTGTAGGTAATCATATAATTATATCTCATATATGATTATTGCTCATAGTATTGGTTATTTCAATTCCTTCCATCATATATGAGGTTGATAGTATATGTATAGTATCATTAATATGATGACATACGACGAGATGTTCCATATGATATAATTGATATACAAGGTTGATACATCATGTATTAGAAATAATGATATCACTATCATCACTATATCCATTGATGATACCATATTTCAACTATGATATCAACAACAATAACATCATAATGCAATGTTTAATGTATATAAACTATTCTATAATTAGATGATTACTATAATGACCAAAAATAGCTGACATGGTAACTTAATAGTTGATAACTTATGGTTATAATAACTGAATCTCCGAAAATTGCAAGGTACCCGAAGAGATGCGTGGCCTGACGAAAGCCGCCTCCCTGCGAGAGGTTGAGAAGGCAGGGTAGCCATGGTGGCCGGGGGGGAAAAAGGGGGAACATATCCCATGAAATCACCATGTTCAATGGTGAAATCACAATTTGACCCCAAGAATCCAGGTACAGTTTTTGACATTCAGTCGATGCGGTCTATGAGTCTAGGAGTTCCATATTGCTGTGTCTAATGGTTTTTGGACACAAAAGAAACGCTATGGGTCAGTCAAAAGGCTGATCCGCCGATCTTATTTGTTTGTCATGTCACATATCATCAAATAGGTGGTTCACCTTAGTTATGGATATCTTCCATTGGTTATCCTCCAAACAATGGTATTTTTTGTTAGGTCTCAACTCATCCCGGGTGGTCACCAGTGCACTGCCTGCCCCAGGAATCAGGCACCTTCTGCTTCTTCCAGGGGGACACCAACTCCGAAGTCCTGCTCATTTGCGGTCATCGCGAAGAGGCACTAAGAAATTACTTGTTTACCATGGTGAAAACCATCAAAAAGATAGATGTTATAGTTTGACCTTGAATTTGGGATTTGCCGTTTGAAAGAAGTTTACTTATGTTTAGCGTAGTTTTTGGCATGTTTCGAGATGTTGGGCAACAGATTTTGCATTACTCCTGCTCGGCCCGTTTTGGGGAGCACGTGACAGGCAAGGCAACTATGCAAAATCATTCATGAAAGCAAAAGGATTGGTTGGCCACTACTTCTTTGGTGCTTTCTTTATCAACAGGTATCATAACAGGTTAATTAACCGATTAAATTAATAAGTCATTACACATAGTGTATATATTACGTCTATATCAATAGTTGTTTGAATTGTCCATCCCAACTAATATGGTTTATAAGATGGATACGTGTATATAATATAGATATAGTCTAGTGTATCTAGTTGGGATGAATATTAATTCAATGGATAGATAATTGTTTATTAGTTGGGATAATTATAAGATCCCAATTTCAATGACCTATCCCAAAAGCATGTTTCATTCGCTGTGCAGCTGCACAGCAACGGCACAGCAGCGGCTCCAGGGCCGGGCCTATGCGGAACAGCTTCTCATGGATCTCATGATGAAAGGAGAGAACTTGGGCAGCTTGCAACTTGCTGATTTAACAGGTGATTTATATTGGGCCAAAGATGGTGATGTTTGCTAAAAATGTGCTGAAAAGTAAAAGTCATATAAAATCATTAAACACTATTCAAAACCACTAAAGATGGTGATGCTTGCTGATTAAGATATATTAAGGTGATGTTGAATGAACTTTAGATATTTTTAGTTGTTTTTAATACTGTTTAATGATGGTTAAGATGGTAACCGTGTCAAAGCTGGAAAAGTGGAAGGTGGTTTGCCACCAGTTTTTTATGGTTTTGATGGTTAAGCTGTTAGTTAAGCCACGTCAAGCCATTTCGGTTTTCTTTGGGATTATGGTGAACGCACTATTTTAAGGATACTGCAGATCTTATTGAATGTTAGAAGATCTCGGTTATTTTCTTCGGATGATGGATCAGATGAGAAAGACCGAAGCTGTGTAATCTATTGAAGTCCAATGTCATGACTCACATCTCAGAGCCTGTAGGATCTGTACAACGACCTCGACCAGCGCCAGCAAAGGTCGGGGGTTAACAACCCATCGAGAGGAATATGAAATGGCGACTGACAGATCTGATATAAGATGAATTAAGATTATATAAGGATAGAAAGATGAAGGGGCTTTCATCTTCGCAAATCATGAAGTTCTTGGGTTGTTCTCACTAGAAAGAGAACGAGGATGACTCCTCCTCCGTGCTGTAGCAATATCCGAGGACGCAATTCCTGCCTGACAGACGTTGTGGCTGGTGGTGGCTTGATGATTGATGAATGATGACTTAAAATCACTAGTCGCCATGAAGGTGTCTTCAAAAATTACAATCATGTCAGTTGCGAAGTACACGGTCCCTTGCCAAGCGAACAGCATCCTGCCACCAGAGGGCCAGAGGGTACCAAGCACTGCTACATTTGCAGGCACAAACCCGCCAACGCCCACCTCGAACACGTCGTCAAAGGCGTGTAGGGTCTGACGTCCAGATGATTTTGATGGTCGGGAGGGTCTCACCCAATCCACGTCGCAGCTTCGAAAGCTCCCAGGATGAACTTTCACAGAGCCATGAAATTGATGACTGACCTGTGAAGTGTGCATGTGTTCAGCCGGGTATCTTGATGTGGATGTGCATGAAGATAGACCAAGATTGACTAATTAATAGTCCAGTATAGGTCAATATATGTCAATATATAATATATAGCTCATTTTTTTTGGTAAAGGTGCTGCTGATGCGTGCTGATATCCATCCTTGTGATGTTCTGAAGGGCGCCGGAACCGAAGAGTAGTTCCGAAGAGTCGGAGTCAGAGGCGGTCCCTTTCGATCCCAAGGGCTCGCTGTTTTCAGTGCGGGATCCCCAAATCCATGGGTTTCAATAATAAAAAAATGGTCTAATTTAGATGATCAAAAATGGGTACCCCCCCATGACTTAGGAAACCTCCCTATTTTGTTCCAAATGTTTGTTAAACATCATTATCTGAACAAGAACGGATGACTGTGATGATGATCATATAATACATTTGATGAACAATTAATTGTGTTTGATGATGATGATGATGATGATGATGATATGTGATGATGTATGATGATATATTATTAGAGTTGGAGGTTGCAGATGAACCATGATTTCGGCAAAATTTGATGAAATAATCATTGCATATCATTGCTACTCCTGTCAATTTCGCTGGTATCTTTATCGTAGCACAACACAGCCCAACTCTATGTCAGGCTTCAGACTCAACTGCTGGGTCAGCCGCATCGAGCGAGATCTATGAGAACGAAGCTGAGAGGGTACTGTACCTCCCCAATCACGGAGAAATCATGAATGTTCCCCCGAGACGACTAAACTTTAAGGTTGGTTCTTTTTTGGGGCATGTCATCCATTGTCATCCAAGCCCCCAAAAAAATTGGTCAATTGAAAATAGCCCCTATAATTTAAAAACCATCATTAACCATCATTAACCATCATTAACCACTATTAACACAACATCCCCAGTAAGATAGCTGCTCCAAGGCCTCCCCCACGACGGCCGCCTCCGCCGTCCACGCCACCACCGCCCCCGAGGGCGAAGGGGTCGGGTTACCTGGTCGTTGCTGTTTCCTGGGACTTCAATGGGGTGGTTTATTTCATGGAAAATCCATGGAACATGCTATTTTTATCTATTTTTTAATGAATGATTTAGTGAAATGGGATACCCCCATGACTTCGGAAACCTCCAAATCTTCAGACATGTTTTGATCCATCCATACCCAGAGAATCCCAGAGAGAGGGATCTTTCCCACCAACTTCTACACGGGTTCTTGAGGTGGATGACTGGTCCACGAATCAGACAGTGGGCCTCGCAGGACACGTCATGGCACGCCATGCCACCTGCAGTTGGACGGCAAAAGCGTGCAAATGCCTGGAAATGAAGAAACAATCAAAATAATGATTTTCAAGAATCCAAAATTATACAGTATCAATTAATATAATCAAAATAATATCAAAAATTATCAAAATCCCTTAAACCAAGAATCCTATGCAACGACGTTCGCACAAGAACTTGAGAATCTTTGAGACGTAGTTCATTGCTTTGAATATGTTTTGCCAGGACCTCAAATATCCTCAAGAGTGACCCCCAGCAATCAGTGCTTATCCATGGGGGAGGTTGGTTGAATCTCCATGATGTATTCGTTCCAAGTCCCCATGTTGTGAGGACAACAGTTCTGACGACGAGATCGTTCCATACTGGTGCGACGAGCAGCAATTTTGATGGTGACAGGGACAGAAGGGACCTCACCACGTCATTTTATGAGTTCCTGCAAGAACAATATACATAATAATAATCATAATAAAATGATAATGTAATACACATATAATATATATATATATATGTATGTAGTATAATACATAAATAAATGTGTCTTTATATATATATATACTGTATGTATATATATACTGTATGTATATATATATATACTGTATATATATATACTGTATATATATAGAGTCATAGACATATCACATACAATACTTATAATATATATATATGATTATATGATACTAAATATGTATAGATACACTTACTACATATGTATATATATATATACATATAAATATGATTAAGTATGATGTGCATATATCTTATATATATACAGTATATGGTTCCAAGGGCCTGAAAATGTGTCCCCCATTCCCAAGACTGGCGATATCACGAAGGCCTTGAGGTGTTGTTCCAGTGGAAAGGGATGGATTTATTCAAGTGCATCCCTGGTTACTCACACATTGCAATATAGAAATCTCATGAAATCCTTGATTTTGCAGAAGTAAACAATTGCATGTTGTTGCTCTTACAAACAGTTTGAGACGACAAGCGCACTTTTAGCATCATGTAATCATGCACCACTGCAAAAATTCAATGTGTTGGATCTGTCGCCAGGTAGATCATTTTGTGTAAATAGCCTTATTGCAGCTCCTTGGCAGCAGAGCGCAGCGCTCTATCGCCTGATGTTCTTCCAAAATGAGTAACGAGCAAATCACTGTTAGTACCAAAAGCAATGGGACGGTTTTCAATTCTGTATGATACGCGTTTGGTTTTTGAAAAACAACTTTGGGACTCTGACATCAGCCATGAGCCCCTCCTGGATGCAATGATGAGCATTCCTCTATGATACTCTGGTGCAAACTTCTTCAGTAGCCACAAAATTGACAATCAGGAGTGATTCTATGCTGAAACCTCCTGGCAATTCTTCAGTAATTCTTGTTGGGTTGAGACTCAGATGTGGACAGCAGAGAAATGGAGGTTTCCATAAATGGGGATACTCCAAATTGATGGTTTATAATATTTTATAATAGAACATCCAAAAATAACATGGATGATTTGGGGATACCCCCCATGACTTAGGAAGCACCCAAATTCTTTGAGGTTGATCTACTTCATGACAATTGGCCGTGACAGGCCCAGGGCCCAGTCCAGTGGCCCGGGATCACTGCTCTGGTGAGAACAGGGACCGCCATAAAATTGTTGGGATGAAATTGTGGTGGTATTTTTCAGACAAACCCAGCTTGTTTCATTTTGTGTCTTTCCAAAGCTGTTAAGATCTACTGAGTTTTACTTGCTCTGGATCACCAGAAACAGACATAGATCATCTCAGATCTACCATTGACTGTTTGGTGCCAGGCGTCATAAAGTGTGAGCCAATATGTCAACAGCTGTGACCTCAGATGAATGGTAGACAGTTGCCTGGTTGGATAGAATATGAAGAGGGCAACCCCTCAATCATGGTTATTGCATTCGTGTGGTCGTGCTGTGGGGAGGGCTTGGAACCGCCAACCTGCATGAGGCCCAAGTTCATCGCCGGATTGCCGGAGACGTGAGGGAAACCAGTTGAGCCAGCGGCGTCGCTGCTCAAATCTGGCGTCAAAGGGTGCAGCGTTGTGGTGACAGTGCAGAATGCGAGGGCAGCATTGAGGGTCAATCATATTTGAAACATTGATTGCAAGAATTGCATGATTCAGCTCATTTATCTTAATTTTTTCTCAATCTTAGACAATTCCCTGGTATCTGGTGGGAAATCTCAAATTATTTCTAAGGTAGCACGTTTTTTTTTTCCATTGACTTTCGAGCTTCTCGCAGAACGTTCCGAGCTGGACAAAAATGCTCTGAACCATCCATGACCCAACATGGAGCAAAAATCATTATACCAAGTAAATATTATGATAATTTAAAAATTAAATTATTGAGATATAAATATTTGAAAATATATTAGAAATTGACATGAAAATGACGAGGTTTGGGGAATAGATACAAATAAAAAAAATACGGATAAAAAATCCTAAATTATATGTTTGGGAAATAAATTTTAGATTTATTAAATTAAATATTATATATTTTGTGTATATATGTATATATATATATATTTAAATAATAATTTATATAATATTATATAAATTATACAATGATAAATATTAGTTTTTAAGAATAAAATATATTGGGAATTATATTAATTATTTATTAATTTAATTGTATAAGGCGACGATGGAAATTTTGAAAATAACAAATTTATAGAAGAGGTGGGTTGTTATATATGATAGAATAAATTTATTGATGGATCGAAAGATAATTGGAATTATATTTTTTGGAATGGTTGAAATAATTGCAATGGTTATGTTTCTCATAATTGTTGGATGTAGTGTGGTGTAGTGTAGTTGTAGTTGTAGAGTAGTGTATTGTAATTAATGTAGTGTAATTTTAGTATAGTATAATTTTAGTTATAATTGTGGAATAATATAATAAATGGAATCTAGTATAATATAATGTATTGTAGGGTTGTGTGTTTTAGCGTAGTGTAAAGTGGTGTTGTAGTGTAAAATGTTGTAATTGGGGTTGTAATATAATTTTATATAATTAATATAATATAGAATATTTATAATTGAGATTTAATTTTAATAATAATAATTATATATTATAATTAAATTTATAATAATTATATATTTAATATAATATAATATAGGTTAATATAATAAAAAATTAATAATAATAATATTTAAATATATAGAGGATAAATTAGAATATGAAATCTTGGAATTAATATAAAATATTAATTTATATATTTAAATGTAATTATTATAATATTTAAATAAATTAGATTTTATATATTTAAATTATCGAATAAATTAAGAATTATGATTTTAGAAATAATTTATATTATATTATATATTTAAATTTTTATATATTTAAATTTAATTTGTTTAATTATAATTATAATATTATATAATATTATATAATATAATTAATATAATTTTATATAATTTAATATAATTATAATTATAATATATTGTAATATAATTAATAATTAATAAATTATTAAGTATTATTGTAAAGGTTATGGTAGAAATGTTTAAAATAAGAAATTAATAGGAAAAATTTACTATTATGATAAATTATAAATGGATAAATTGAATTTTTTGAAATGGTTATAATGGTTACAATGGTTATATGGTCGGTTATTTCGTCCACGTTTGCTGGATGTAGTGTGGTGTAGTGTAGTTGTAGTAGTATAATGGAATTATAATTATAATATGATATAATTAGTCTAGTGTAATTATAATTATATTTGTAATGGTTTAGTGAATATAACACAATGAAATGTAATGTAATCTAATGTAATGTGGGGTAGGGTAGTGTAGTGTAGTGTAATTGAGTCTAGTGTGGTGTAGCGTAGTGTAATGTAATTAGTGTAGTGTAGTGTAATGTAGTGTCGTGTAGTATAGTATAATTGTAGTTATAATATAAAATAGTGTAGTGTAGTGCAATACAGTGTTGTACAATGTAATGTAGTGTAGTGAAATGTAATTAATTTAGTGTAATAAAATATCGTGTTATATATAGGGAATAGACAACGTCGCGTCCACCGGTTGTAGAATGCCAGAATTAGTTACAAAAAAAATATAAAAGGAAATCGTGCCTATTCCATAAATACCAGCGATCTCTGATGTATTTGGAACACTTTTCTTGAATATTATTGCGGTACCTATGTATTTCGTTATTAATATCTACTTAGGGGATTTCCATTGTTCTTGTTTGGATCCAGCGGTGCCATTGGGAATTCTTGTCGTATCGAGCTGATTGGGTGCTTGCCTTTTCCTTCGCCCATGGATTTATCTTCCGGTTGGA